TCCGGGTGCTCCGGTTTCCCCCACAGTCCAAAGACATGTGGTACAGGTGAATTGGGTAGGCTAAATCGTCTATAGTGTACGAGTGTGAATGAGTGTGCATGGATGTTTCCAAGTACTTAGTTGCAGCTAAAAGGGCATCCGCTGCGAAAAACATATACTGGATAAGTTGGTGGTTCATTTCGCTGTGAAGACCCCAGTTTAATAAAGGGACTAAGCCGAAAAGAAAATGAAAGAATATAAAACATGAAAAATATTTTTTAATTACTGAAATCATCATTTTTCCTCATAATGACGTGTAAATGTCTGAGCACGTGTAGTCATTAAATTACAATAAAACATATTACATTTTTAAAACTTAGTGCTGCAAAGCAGAAATGGCTCCAAAGTTGCTGGAGTAACTGATTTATCTGGACAAACAGCACCTCCATGTGGTCTTACAAAGTAGCCTACTTATAATCTAGGAAAAGGTCTCGTTTGGTGTTTGCAGAAATTATATTACAGTAGGCTATGTTTTTACAGATTTCCTTACTCTCATGTCCACAAATGCTACCTCGATATTTTTAACCATAGTCTACGGTAATATAATTTCTGCACACCAAACAACACGTGTAAATAACATGACAAAACACGCAGCTACATGTAAACATTACATTAATGCAACATCTATTACTCACCTGATGAAGTAGGCCTATACACATTTACGTCCATTCAGTCTTGTTTTGTCAAAAATATATACATTTCAGTTCACCTTATCCAAAAACAACAGGTTTAATGATGATCAAGGTGTTGAAAGTTGATTTGCTTTAATTACGTTTGAAGCTCAGACTACAGTTTTCCTTCAATACCTTTACCATATGCTTAACATATGTTACGGTAAATAATGCCCGCACAGCTTTCCCTTATACTATAAAGTAGGTAAAAGTATTCTTATAGGATAGGCCTGAACAAAGAAAAACGAGTAAATAAGAATAGCCTACTGTATTGTGTAGCATAGAGTGAAGACTGCAATTACCTGCTGAAGCACGTGTTCTGGTCACATAAACAAGTCTTGTCACAGACCAGTGCGAATATATCAGCAATGCTTTTTAGATTTGACTTGAGAAAAACAGGAAAAGTGTGGTTCATATCTGCATTAGGCTCTTCCATGCAAACATCACGACAGTCAGGGACAGATACTGTAAATCCGTTGAAAATATTTCGTGTAGGCTGGTAGGCCTAACCACTTTTCTCAGCCCAACACAACACAGAACAGCACAATGAACACAAATAGGTTAACGCCGCCATCTGCTGGACGACAGATTACCCAAGACTAACATTTGAGGATGTAATTGAACGACGTTTATAATCTCTTTCGCAGTTTAGAACATATTAATCTAGTTTTTAAAGCATTTTAGATGTGAAAATTGTATATGCAAGTTAAAAATAGGCATATTCAAATGTTTGCGACGGCTCTCTGCTTTCCCAGCAAAAACAAATAGGTTCTTCTGCCAGCTACAGTTGTAAGGTGAAGCTGCAGGCCCAGAGACCCAACTGCACGCTCAGAGCTCAGACTTGTTCTCCAGACCTTTCGTTTTCTCAGACAGTGCCACCTGCTGTTGTGTTGGGTGAAGTGGCAGGTAAGGAGACCCAACTGCACGCTCAGATCAGCACCCAGCAAGAAGCAACATCGAACACGCGAGTAAGGTTATTGATTTTTTTAAAGCGATTCCTGAAAACTACCAGGTTTTATGGCGTACAGTAAATCAATATGGTGTAAAAATTACACTCACAAACAATTATTTAAGTGTTTGATTTGATAAAAAAATTACTGTCAAAAGATATACCATTACTTATATTTTCAGCTCACTCGTATTTTCGGTGTTATTGTACCATTCTGGGACAATTTTCTAGCAATGTTTTCTGGCAAAATAAAAAACTTTAAAGTTGAAATGTTAAAATGAAATGTATAATATATAACGCAATTATTATTTAAAAGATATTTTAGTGCAAGGTCTGCTCTGTACATATTACTGTATTATCTATCTGAAAGTGCTACCCAAGACAATAACAGTAACAAAATAACAGTTTAACACGTGTTAATAAGCTCTGTAATGATTATAATAAGCTTTTTGGAAATCAAAATATCAGTTAATCTGCATATAATTTGCTATATGAGCTCTCTTAGGTTGAAGCAAAAATAATTTGCTTGTGACTTGTGTATTTTTTCCCCCAGATAGATATTACAATTTAAAAAGGGCGGTCTCTGCCAACACAACTCTGCCACATACAGTGCACAAAAGGCTGCAGATAATTACAGTTTTTTGCTTGAGAAATGAAGCATTTAAATATATAAAGCAATTTTTTATTTGATGTTATTTTCTACGTAAAAAATATAATTATTAATCCAATTATTATTTTTCACAATTTTCTCTGCATTGTTTACAGCTTGATGACTTGTTGGATTTCATGAAAAAGTACACAAAAATAAAGTTTGTTGTGAGAAAATTACTCAGAGTACTATAATTTATTGTATGTGAAGAAATTTATTGTATAAGATAATATTTATTCCATCAACTTAATACGAAACAAATACATAAATAAAAAAAATAAAAAAACAATAAATGAATAAAAAATGTAATTGACTGAACAATATCTATTTACAAATACAATTAAAAAGGCATTAAATCAAAATGTAATATTTTTATAATAATGCATTCAATCATAGCGTAACATTTTATAATAGAAAATAGTTTAAGTTACGATTTATAAGTAGCTTTATAAGAATTCAGGTTATTCGATCTTTTAAACAGCAAGTGACACTGTCAGAGAAAACGATAGGTCTGGAAGTGACCATGATACACTAGCTTGCTACACACATAAATACATGTCTAAACACGTTTAAAATTCTAATAATTATAACTATTAATGCATAATTAATAGTTATGCATAAAATAGGAGTTTGGTCATCTAACATATTTAGGAACAGAAAATAATACATTTAAATTCAAACAAGTTATTGAAGAAAAAATACAAACTACAAAATGTCAACTAAATTTAGTTTTAATATATGTTTTCTTCACTTTTCCTGTTTCCTGTTTTTTCCAAACATATTCATTTGGGTGTACTAATTTGTGATTGCATAATTGCATATGACCTTAGTTTGTTGTTGTTGTTGTTGTTGTTGTTGTTGTTGTTTGATTAGTTCCAGTTTTGCCTTTGGTATTGACTACTTTAATGTATATGCAGAAATATATAATTATGTATAGTTATTAATTAATTATATATAAAGCATCCCTGTAGAAAATGATTTATAAAGAGCCCTATATGTTCGGTGACACAGTGGGTTGTTAGTGGTGTAAAGTAACAAATTACAAATACTCAAATTACTGTAATTGAGTATTTTTACTCAGATGTTGTATTTTACTGAGTAGTTTTAAAAATGTGTACTTTTACATTTCCATGAGTACATTTTTACTTAGTACTTTTACTCCACTACTTTCCTTCTACATGCAGTCACTACTTAATTTTTTCTTGTCTAAGGGGATTTTAAAAATCTGTCCTGCAATTCCTGTCCAATCAAATTGCACATAGAAGGTAAATTACATCATAATGAACTACCTCAAGACACGGGTGATTTATAATTGCAGCAAACTGTTTAAAAGTATTTAAAGTGTCCAAGAAGATGACAAAATCTTTACATGCATTGATCTAGAGACAGTTTAAATGCATGTCACTCATGAGAAAATGATGGATGTTTACTGTGTGATGACCGAAATGGCCTTAAACACCCAGCTGGCACAAGACGTCAATATGACGTCGGATTGACGTTGTACCCCAATGTCATGGGGATGATGCATTTTGTTTGGAAATCAAAATCGGTTTAACGTCAGAACTCAATGTCAGGCCAACGTCAATGTCCAACATCCAACCTAAAATCAACCAAATATCAACGTCTAATGATGTTAAAGCTTGACGTTGTGTGGACGTCACCACTATTGCCATTTATCAGATGTTGGATTTTGGTCGCCATACCTGATAATTAAAAGTCAGTATTTGACGTCAATATGATGTTGGTTTTAGATGTTGGGTTGACGTTGGATTTTGGTTACTTTCTAACAACCTAAAATCGACCAAATAGCATTTTTATTTGACGTCATTATTTGACATCAAAATAACGTTGTCCTTAGACGCTGGCTGAACATTGAATTTTGGTCACCTAACGTTAAAACATACATTTAACCTAATATTAACGTCTTATGCTGTTGTGTGCCTGCTGGATACTAACTAAATGCACTACAGAATGTTACGTTTACACACGTCCACAAATTACATGTAAACACATCAGCTTTTAATAGCGTAATTTTCACTACTCACTACTCTTGAGTACTTTTGAAAGAGCTACTTTGAGTAATTTTCACAACCGATACTTTTTACTTTACTTGCACTACATTTTTTAGGCAAGTAATGGTACTTTTACTTGAGTATGATTTTTCAGTACTCTTTTTACCACTGTGTGTCATCTCACAGAAAGATTCGAGCGGTTTGTCATTTTTGTGGAGATTGCATGTTTTCCTCGTGTTCGCGTGAGTTTCCTTCAAGCACTCACAGTCCAAAGACATGCGCTATAGATGAATTGGTTATAGTCCTGGTCCTTTAGATTGGGGGTTGAGCGTTGGCCTAACAACCCACCTTGTAAATACTAGATGTTAAGAAACACCAGTATGGTGCAGCTAGATATCAACTTCGATAAAAATAGCCCTATAGGTATGCATAAATCTCTATGTTGAATAGGAAGAAAAGAATAAAAGTTTGTAAAGGAAATTCTAAACCTGGAGGCTAGACATTTTTAACCTCTTCATTTGAACAAGCTCAAATAAATCATGCTCATCCTGCCAGAAACAGGCTGGACAGGTCAGGCAGGCAGATTTCGCAATGAAATGGGTGTAAGGTAAAGAAAAAAAAAGAGCAAGAGAGAAAAAAAAGACCCAGTCAGACATTCAGACCGTCAGTCTTGCAGACCACACACTTCTACTCAAACATAGAGACACAGTGCTTGGAAAACAAGCACATCTGTAGAAGATACAAAGCTTTTTTCTTATTTGTGCTTTAGTTAGTGAGTAAAAACATGACAGCACAAAGCTGTATTTTGATTAAAGGGGGGAAAGTGGTAAATGAGGATTTCTCTGTGATGGCAGACGTGTATATCGAAGATGGAGTTATCAGTGGTGTTGGAACAGATCTGCAGGTGGCCGCTGGCACACGGGTCATTGATGCCACACACAAACTGGTGCTGCCGGGTGGAATAGACTCTCACACTCACATGGAGCTGTCTTTCATGGGCACCACAACTGCGGATGACTTTCAGACCGGCACCCAGGTATACTTACAAACAACAGAAAACGTTTTGTGCATCTAATATTGTTATTAAAGAGTTTATTGTAATTATCTGAAGTATTCAAATTATTCATTACCCTTTTTATTAAGGTAAGGGGTAGCAAACAATTTATATGCACTGAATTTAAACAAAGAAATTAAGTTGAATGTGATTTGTTTCAAGAGTTCACACTTAGCTGATTGATTATAAAGCTTCTTTGGAATGCTGTCCCGGGAGAGAACCCTGAGCTCATAAAATCCTCGAGCCATCCTCCCTCCCGTTTGCAAGGCAAGAGGGGAGTTTGAGCTCAGGTAGATCTGCTGCTGTAGTAGCTAATGAACAGATAGGGATTGCTCTTAAGAGATAACTACTTACTACACTGTAAACGATTTCTGTTGTTTTCACGGTATTATACTGCATTTCTCAACAGTTGTTTACTGTATAAGCTGTGCACAGTGTGTTACTGTATATATTGCTGTTTTCACAGCATGATAATGTATTCTCAACATTTCCATACTGTGAACATGATTAACAGTATGCTACTGCAGATTTTACAATGAATTTTGGGAAAAAATCAGTTACTGTGCACATAAATACAGTACTGCAAATGACCATGAAAAACTCTACACACACTTTATATTATTATTATGTTTATTTTTTTGACAAAGTATTTTGTGAAGAAAAATAAAATAACCAGTTTCTTCAGACTGTTCAGTGCATAAAACTGTCCCCTGGTTTTCCATATTTGGGTGTACTGCACCTTAATTTTATAAGGTTAACATGAAAATATTAAATCATTTTTAATCAACATAACTTTGTGCTTAACCAAAACGTAAACTGGAACAAAAGTAATTGATTCATGAAACCAAAGTTAGCTTAAATGTCAGAATGACCAGCCTGCTTTAGACGGATTCATGAGGTTAGGGCACCCGTCATCACCATGGAGGTCACATATCTCCGCATTTTCAAAACAATATTTTAAAATACCCACCATCTCTATAAATAAACCACAGACTTGAGTTTAAAACAACTACATTCCCGCATGAAAAACGGTTAAAACTAAATTTCATAACACATTCATTATAGAGCCATCTAAGACCGGGGCAAGTCTCACATGTCTAGCCGATTATAACCTCGTTTCGCCGGATACATGAGTGATGATGGACACCCTGGAGGTCAGAATCTCCGATATCGGCAAAGCACGCTTACAATTTACACATGATATCTATAAATAAACCACAGATTTAAGTTTGTAAGAACTACATTCTCGCATGAAACACTGTTAAAATTTTATTTCGTGACATATTAAACGCAATATTTATAATATTAGCTGGGCTTTCTCATCCGCCATTACCATTTGCTTGTTGATGTGAAAGGAATTCTGGGAGAAAAAAATATTAATTCTCAAAACACTTCAAACGAACTTTATTCGTATTGTCAAGTTCAGATATATGTAATAATTTCGCTGGTAAAGTGAATAAAAAACAATGTTACTATATTGTAATCAATATCACGTTTGCACTGGTTCGGTTCAGCACTCGAGCGACTCTGAATCGTATTGAACCGTTTGCTCGGGAATTATTTGATCACACGTGTTCACAAGCACATTCAGCAATATGCACTTAGTGTATAATTAGTGTATAAATGCGTGTGGCCAAGCAGTATAACGAAATAGTAATGAATCATATACAAAAAGGGATCTGTTTTAGGCGGATTCGATTCTTTACTGTTCACTAAGGAGCCGATTCATAGAACCGAACGGACACGACTCGACATGCAGGCAACGGCTCTCCTAATTTGAAATTCACCTGTCGTCTTTCATCCAGCGAATTCATCCTCGGTAAGTGTTTTAAAGTCAAATTCTGTCCGTTAAAGGATTGTTTTATAAGTATTTCTGTGTATTGTGTGTGTAATTTAAAAGAATTAACCAAGTGACATTAGTTGTAGGTTCTTATGTTATGTCACGCTGTCCGTTAACAAACGGTATTTTAAACAAGAAATAACAGACGCCAGGCGGTCATTGTAGTGTTTGCGAGGTATTAGATACAGTAAGTTAAGTTTATCTTGAGTGAGTTTTTGACCATACGTTAAGTTACCTGAAAAACATAACGTCAACTTATTGTAACTGCATTAATGAATTCTCTATTTCAGCACAACACTGAGATGAAGGCGAAGTCACCATGAAAAGTTAAACGTTTACCGTTAAGGTAAGCTCTGGTCTTCACATAGTCATTATGACTAAGCTATCATTATGGTAAAATTTTTCAACTGTAAGTTAGTTATTTAAACTAAACTCATAATGAAATGAGTCTTAACTGTTTTATTAAATGGAGCTGAAAATTAAATGCAGTTGAATTATTTTAAGCTAACGTTAATATTAACAAAATACATATTAATTGTCTATTTCTCAATAATGTTAATGAGCTTGATGTTCAGGTGTACCTGAGGTGAGTGTACGTTCTGAGTACACAGATATAAGCCAAAGTCATATCCATCCTAATCTAAGAGAAATTGATGGGGTCAGGGAATGATTTGTGTACAAATGTATTTTAACCCCATACAGATTGGTATGGTTTTACCATAGATTTAGATTAATTAATGTTAAGTCTTATTTTACTCTTATTATATTTATCTGTTTTTCAGCTACAGTAATTGATGTTGAAAAACTGATGCAACCAATCACTCCTCACTTGATTATTCAAGGTAATGTCGATGTCTTCCTCATTTTGATTAGATTTTTAAATGTCAAGTTGTTCACAGATTTGTTGTGAGGAGTTTTCATGTACAACCTCTTTTTCTTCTTCCAGCAGTTCCTAAGAAAACTTTAAGAAAAAAAAAACATCTGGTGTTAAAACAGCCACGGCTATGCTATTTGCCTACCAAGTGCTTAGTAAATATTAGACAAACATTTTTTTCTATAACTGTTGTCTTTGTGTTTATTAGCAATTTTACTGGGCGTATGTGTTTGTTTTTTTTTCAAACAGCCTGGAAACTGTAAGTTTAGTTCAATATGTTATTTTATGCTATTAATTTTTGTCTTAACATGGATTGCATGTTGAAGCTATCGTTTTATAGTGGGAAAATGTAAAAGAGAATCACTGAATACAATGGCATAATGATTCTGCTTGTTCAAAGAAGGTACTTGATTTAGTTTTCCTCAAGCGACACATCAGTTTTTATGACTATTGCTTGACACTTGAATTGAAGGGACAGTTCACCCCAAAATGAAAATAATAGCATCTTTGGCATCCTCTACTTGTTTCAAAATAGTTATATATTTAATTTGTTCCGTTGAACACAAACTCGTATTTTTTAAAGAAATTTGGTTTAAACATGGATGTCAATAGTTACTGGTTACTAACATTCTTCAAAATATCTGCTTTAGTGTTTAACAGAAATTCAAACTAGTTTAAAACACGTGAAGTAAATAGTGGCAAAAAAGTAAACTATTCCTTTAAATATTTTATTCTGAGACTTATTTATATGTGTCTTGTCTTTTGTCATATTGTCCTTCTAGCCCAGATTGTGATGGACCTGGAATGCGACACCAGTTACTCTTAAGACAAGAACCGAATAAAGCACAGATGTGGAGGGATTTGCAGCCAAACTAACTGGAGGGAAGGAACCTTTAGGTAAAAACACCTGCTTTATTTAGATCTGAAGTATTTTATTTGACATAGAGATTTATTGTTTTAATTCTAATTTAAAGCAAACAAGGTTGAGCACCCCTGGTCTAAAAGCTCAAAAATGCTGTTTCCGTGATAAGGTTAAATGTAGTTTAGAAATAGATTCATTAGGATCAATGCTTAAATTAAACATTTTCTTCTCTCTGTAGACCAAACATGTTTACTATCCCTCACATTTTAATAAATTGTTTCTGTTTTTGTTTCTTACAGTGTGGGTGAACATACTACCTGGATGTCCAACAAAGGCTGCACAAGAGCTCATTTGATAGCACACATTCTGTCCTGTCTACATCTCTGATGACCTGGAAGTGCTTCAACATCAGTGAGTAATACATCTTTATATTGTCATGCATACAGGATTTCTGTAAGCTTAGCTTTAATGTTAGTTTCTAATCAGCAGTGACTGTTTTAAAAAATTAAGTATTTAAATTATTCTCAACGTTTTACTGATGCTGTGCACAGTAACGTTATGATGATTTAGTTTGAGGAAATGTCACTAGAGGGTTTGTATAAAAAAAAAAATTAATAAATAAATTGTATGAAATGACTCGATAAAATGTTTATTTGTCTCGCTGACATGCCATCACTGCTGCATATTGAAATACAGTAATACGAATTGACAGCAGAATATTACCACAAACATTTCATGAAGTAGGCTAGACTGCTCTTTAGTTCTCTACTCAACTTTAACACATTTCCTCGTGTTGCTGAGCCTCTCTGCAGATTTTGCCAAAAATGAATGCTTAGTGATTACTTTGTTTTATGCAAACCAAATATCAGTAACTCATGGCTTTCATGTTCTCTAACGCAATCTTATCTGTAAGTTAGAAGTGGATTTATACGTGTTAAAAGCCTAAAAGTATTTAATTAACATTAGTCACGTTAAATTAGATTATTTTTATTTATTTAATTTTAAATATGTAGCCTCTTAAAGTGAGAATGAACTGCGTTCACCCCTCTTAAATTCGTGGAAGCACTAGTAGTGTGATCATGGAATCAGATATTCGAGTTATACAGAGTCGGACATTAAGTTAAGATGAGACTTTATTTTTTACACACCTGTGTGGACACCTGAATAGCAATCTTTAAGAACAATGCCCGCTGATCTTTTCCCCATTAACGTTAGTGTAATTGTGAATTGACAACAAACTGTATTTCACCAACAAAAACAATTAAAAAAACTGTTATATATATTATAACTGTTTTATTTATATATATATATATATATATATATATATATATATATATATATGTGTGTGTATAAAAAACAACAGTGCAGTGTTTCGTTTCTGAATGAATTAAATGGTTTGAGGGATGATTAGTTTTTACTTCAGTGATTGATTTTGCCTGTCATTTTTGCAGGATCATCAGAAGTGCTGCTGCCCTTTTTCACTGTCCCTTTCCACATCATTTGGCCTTCATCATTTCCTGTCTTGTAGCAGTATTTTCACCTGTTTTTAAAATTGTAATAATTTTTGATGCATTAATTGTTGACTGGTTTTAATGATTAATTGTTTATTAGTGTTCTGTTGCTTTGTTATATTGAATTATTGCTACTGTTTTAGCATGGTTTACACAATAAACCTTTATTGTGAAGTTAAAGTTTCAGTTTCTTTATTTTTCTTGTATTTCTTGAACAGTTAAAATAACACTTGTGCAATTTTTGAACATTTTTACCCATTATAAAGTAGCACTATTAAATAAAATAAAATAACATTTAATAACTGTAAAATACTATACAGTAATAATAAAAGTAACGTTAAAATACCGTAGTTCTTCATGGTAAAAATGTACAATAAAATACTGTTTTCAGTTTTGCAGTATGTGTATCACTACTGTAATTGGTGTTACAGTAAAAATCAACAACAGTAAAATGATGTATTACATTTTACAGTAAATGTAATACTAATGTAATTAGTATTACAGTAATGTTACCGTTTTATGAAATACAGCAGCTACTGGATAATTGTTGCCAGTAACTTACTGTTGATTTAACAAGAAATCGTTTACAGTGTAGGAGCATGTCAATGGTGCCGATTTGGATTAGGTAATTAACTTAAAATACATGTTTTTGGATGGTGGGAAGAAACCGGGGAACCCGGGGGAAACCCGCATGAGCACAGGGAGAATGTGTATACTCCGCAAAGAAATGTTGGCTGGCTTGGTAAGGACTAGAACTAGTGACGTTCTTGCTGTGAGGCAACAGTGCTAACCACTGGGCCACCCATCTAGGAAAGGACGAGAAGTAGGGGTGGAAGGGGAGATTCTTGAAAACATAGATGGCTGTTATGTGGAACGTAGGGTATTTATAGTGGTTTAGGAATCGTCTGATTGGTAAACCATAAATTGGAAAAGCGGGACCAGCCGCAAGCAATCATAAGCACGCGATCCTCTTAATATTACTTTATAAATACCCTAAAAATCACTTGAAACTCTTAAATATCTGCCCATATAAACTGTATGCAACCACTTATTAAACCAAAAAGTACTAAATTCAATGAATCTTTTTTTTTTCCAGGGAATTATTATTGATATATTGCTTATTGATAATGGTACAATTTGTGTGTTGTGCTAATTATGTCAAACATTATAAATAAATGATCATATTTACAGTATAGTGTAGTTTTAACAGCATTATTCACTGCTTATAAAATTCAGTTTGATGACATAAGACTCATGACTGAAGCCTTGTTTGTCAATAGCTCATTTGGGGAACATCAGTATTGAATTTTTAAAAAAATATGTTTTTTTCCATCTGTATTCTTCTCAATGTTGCGAGTAATTTAAAAGTACAGTATTCAATGCAAACAAGCTCAGTGTGTTTGCGACTGAATACTATGCCATGTTTGTATATATTCTTAAATTTTATTTCTATGAATAAATAAAAAAAAAAAAAATAAATAAATAAAACAATAAATAAATAAATAAATAAATAAATAAATAAATAAAAATAAAAGAGCATGCATAAGGGTTTAATGTTGTGTTGTGTAACCGTTTATGGCTCATATGCAGTATATGCTGAGAAATTTGAAATCATAACTGAAAACTTATATTGTGAAATAAAATATATATGACATAAAAAATAATAACTTTTTAACTTTTATTTAACGTTTACATTGCAAATCCAATTAGATCCACTAATTTTGTAAGCAAAGCAAGTTTCTCATATATCTGCTAAAAACAGAAAATATTACTTTACAAACTGTATTGAAAATAAATCATATGGACATTTTCCTATTAGTCAATAATATCACTGAAATTATTTAAAAACTGGATAAATATAAATGTAAATATAAATGCACAAGTAAATAAATAGACTAAATGATGGGCTGAAGATCTGCGGAATTTGCAGTTATTAACATCATCATCATTGTTATTATTATTATTACTACAAAGATTTTTGAATATTAATTGAAATAGCTGAGCAATCACTTGTCACTTATAATTAAAATTAAATTATTTAACTATGTAAAGATATTTAAATGCTATAGTTTACATTTTGGGGTCCATAATTATTCATAATTAATCATAAACATTATAATTGACACATAAACACACAAATGATACTTGCATTTTGTTTTCTAAAAACTATCATATGGATTTAAACCCCTAATCAGAAGTCTATTAGATATTCATTTAAAATATTATTAGCAATATAAAAGTTATGTTTACTTATCTGAAATTTTTAATTATGTTGTTAATCAGGAGGCTTTAGAAATGTGTGGATCAAATATGATGATATAGGGTTAAAGAAGGAAATGTGCGCAGCTGGTGATAAAAATGCCAGAAAAATCTCTGCATGTCCAAACTTGTCAGTCATTAATAAAACAGCATGATGACATATAAAGAGGACAGCTTTACAAAATGATGTATAAAGTTCAAAGGTCAACATCCATGGTGATTTGAATGTAACCAGAAAGTTAATTTGCAACATGTTTGAAAGCGTGTGTTGATGTTGCTGTATAACATGTGTTCGCAGGCTGCGGTCGCAGGAGGAACGACCATGATCCTGGACTTTGTCATCGCACAGAAGGGGTGTTCGCTTCTGGAGGCCTATGAGCGCTGGAGGAGAACGGCTGACCCCAAAGTCTGCTGCGATTACTCCCTTCATATGGCAGTGACCTGGTGGGACGACACTGTACGAATACTGCTCAAGTATATTTATAAACCAGCATTACTGTAGCTTAATGCAATACACTGCAGGTAAACAGGGTAATATATATATATATATATATATATCACTGTAGTTCCCCAGTTGATTGATTACATTAAGAATTGCAAACATTTTTATATTTATAAAATTTTTCTAAAATGTTATATTTACATATGCAAATTAGTTACAATTGCCTAATTTGCATACATTTGCATTTTCCCCTATTTATTTGGCATATCAGATTCAAAGGTGTGTACAGAGAGGGTTTAGACATCTCTTTTTATCACTCCAAAGAACGTACAGCAAAAAGCCAAAAAAAACAAACAAATTGGGTACAATAAAATATATATAATTAGAAAATTTTGTATGCACGTATCTCTTTTTAAACACCATAATACAGATATGAATAAAACAGTGGTGTTTGGTGTATGTACAGTAAATGCTTCTGAAATAGATATTTATGGCTCATTCATTTTCCTTCGGCTTAGTCCCTTTATTAATCAGGGGTCGCCACAGCGGAATGAACCGCCAACTTATCCAGCATATGTTTTACGCAGCGGATGCCCTTCCAGCTGCAACCCAGTACTGGGAAACACTCACACACACTCATTCACTACATTTATTCAATTCACCTATAATGGACTTGTGGGGGAAACTGGAGCACCCGGAAGAAACCCACGCCAACACAGGGAGAACATGCAAACTCCACACTGAAATGCCGACCAAGCCGGGACTCGAACCAGAAATCTTCTTGCTTTGAGGCGACAGTGCTAACCACTGAGCCACCATGCCATCCTATTAAAAAATTATAATTTGTGATGATAACAGTGCTTCAAAACAGGTGTTGTAGTCGAAATCAGCAAACACTTTTTTTTTTCATTTATGAATAGATAAAGTGCAACAAAAGCAATTTGGATGTTTCATTTTAATTTTACGTAAAAATTAAATTCACAAAAATAACAGGTTTATGAAAAAATATTTTTGTCTGCTATTTGTAAACAATGTTTCCTCTACGCAATGATAAATGTACATTGTATGTGTCATTTTGGAGGAATCAGTCTACCAAATGTATTAAATGTTATAAAAATGTTTCAAATGTAATATTTGGCACCTGCATTGTAGGCAATTTTTTAACTTCATACAAAAAATGTAAAACATTTCACCCTCTACGCATTATGATAGATCTATAAAAAAATATATTTGACTGTTTTTATTTTCTTAAAATGGCTTAACTTGAAGTACTGTGAATTTTTTTTTTTTTAATTAAGGTACTTTCCAACAGTGGGTCTAACTTAGAAATTTCTAAATTTAGAATTTAGCTTATAATTAATAATTTTATTGTTTGAAATTATTTAATTGGTGTTGAAGTATTATAAGCTTTAACACAGAACTTATACTGCCATTAGCATACACCTATCAACATTATATTACTAGCTTTCATGTTATTGTTATTGTTACAACTTAAAAGTTCACAGCTGACCTTGCTAGCAAGCTAATCTATTGCAATATTGCATGTTCCACTATTGCACCATTTGGCAACACACACGTTTGATCAATTTACAAAACAAAAACTGAATTGATAAAAAGAAATTGAGTTGTGAATATTTCATAACTTACTGGAGGTGATGTTTCAGATTATTTTTGTGGATCTGACATAATTTGATCCTTTGTTTTTATTGAAGTTAACATTTGCATTCAGCAACTACTCACAATAAATGCTAGTGAGTCAGAAATTGCGCTACAGAAAAACACTGCATGTCATGTGACCTAACCAAAACACATCATTGGCTAAACTAATGTCTTCTCTTTCCAACTAAAAAAATTCAATGTTGGTCTTAAAGAAACAGTGGCAGGGAAATGAACATAAATATCATGTTATGTTTACTTATCTGAAAGTTTTAATTATGTTGTTAATTAGGAGGCTTTAGAAATGTGTGTATCAAATATGATGATCTTTATAGGGTTAAAGAAGGATATGTGCACAGCTGTTGATAAAAATGCCAGAAAAACATGTGCATGTCCAAAACACACACACACACACAAAATTACTTGTAAACATTTATTCTACTTAGTCAGATCCTCTCCTCATGTTCAGATCACATGGAATTTTGATCTATAAATGTGTTGATATTTGAATAACATTAACATAAATACTGGGCTCTCTCTATAGGTCAAGAAAGAAATGGAGACTCTTGTTTCTGAAAAAGGCATCAACTCTTTTAAGATGTTTATGGCATACAAAGACCTCTACATGCTGCAAGACCTCGAGCTCTATGCTGTTTTCTCCACATGTAAAGAGATTGGGGCAATAGCTCAAGTCCATGCAGAGAATGGAGACCTTATTGCAGAGGTGAGTACTGCTAAGAGGTGAATGAGTACTCAGAAGTTACACTTGAAAATACAATATCAGTATCTTGACAAAAACACACACACACACACACACACACACACACACACACACACACACACACACACACACACACACACACACACACACACACACACACACTTACAGTATGTTGAGTACTGCATATTATATAATATACTATTAGCCATCTCCATTACTTCTTCTATCACCGAGGTTAGAAATTCCATGAGAATCAGCATGAGCCTGTAAAGGATTTAGTGTTTTAACCTCGAAGTTAAACTTCAACATGGTTCTAAGAAGAGTAAACCAGTGTGAAAGGGCTTTTTGTAAATCATTATTTAAAAGTAAAGTAGATCGAACCTTAGACAAACAGATCATGTTGCACAATAACTGGCCCAGGCCTTTACACTAACATAAATGCCACTGTTAAAAGTTTTAAAGTACATTGGTCAAAAAGTCAAATGGTAACTATTTTACAAACACCGTCATAGATGTGTGATTAGTACAAGACTAGTAATATCCAGCTATTTCATCACATAAATATATGTTTTAGACTCTGTTGCCCAATACTGCATACAGCAAATAATGCAGGATGAAGCCATAAGTGTCCTGTTAGTCTAGAACAGGGGTGGCCAACCCTGTTCCTGAGAGCCACCTTCCTGCAGATTTCAGTTGCTACCCATATCAAACACACCTGAACCAATTAATTAGGACCTGAACACAACGTGCTAATTACAGGCAGGTCGGTTTGATATGGGTTGCAACTGAAATCTACAGGAAGGTGGCTCTATCTAGGAACAGGGTTGGCCACCCCTGGTGTAGAATGTGATATGTGGTATATGATTCTGACGGTATGATAACCTTGGATAAAAAGGATCACGGTTTCATGGTATTGTGATTACTGCTCTGAAATATGTCCTTTTTAAATATCTTGGTAAAAAACAACAACTATCTCCCCATTGAACATAATATATTTTAATTTGGGAAACATTTTAAATATTTTTTCAACAGTAATAGTCAGGCTAAATCATTCAAATCATTGATCATCGACTTCATAGTTTCAAAAACACAGATTTCTTTACAATTTAAAATGGCATCTTTAAATATCTTTTCTACTGGAGTAACTGTTGTACTAAAAAAATAAAGCGACGTAAAAAATAAATGAATAAATAAAAATCACTTATACCATAAGACTCCAGGCCAAGTCTAGAAATAGTCAGAATCCACTGGACAAGGTTATATTAAAAAATTACCACGCATTTGCCTAAATTTGTTTGAAATTTAGGCACATATATGATGAAATGTTTTAATTAACTAAAACCTTGTGCATTATTCTTAGAATAAACCGCAAATGTAGAAAAATGACACTGGAGGGCGCCAAATACATAGAGTTAAAGAAGCGGTTCTTAAAGGAGGTTATGCATGTTACTGCTTTCATAAAGAATACTCTCTAGCATAATCCAAGTATGGAGAGAGGACATGTATTGGTCATTTAGCCCCAGGTATGAAAGAATGTGACCAGACCAGACTTGACAAAGACTAAAACACATCTTAAACAGAACACTAAACTTTTAGCGGTCAGATACGTGGTTTCAAAAAACAGACTAAAATCTTTCTTTGCCTTTCAAAATACAAATGAAAAGCAATGAAATCCTCACTTTCCAGAGGAAAAGCCACAGTCTCTTATGCGCTCATTCTTTCGGCACCATTTCACACAATGACTCTTTCCACCTTTTCTTTCCTCAGCTAATGGCTTTTTAAAGTCGCTTAGTAACCTGTATCACCTGCCTTCACTAATTATCAAAATGCACATTAATTAACCTATTAGTGAATTTTACATTCCAGTCAGCGCCAAAAGTGGGTGACAGCAAGAGAGAGAGAGGAAAAAAAATTTCCATTGCAGATTTGTGCATTAAAGGGATAGTTCACCCCCCCACCCCTCAAATGCAAACACACACACACACACACACACACACACACACACACACACACACACACATACATATATATATATATATTTACATTACATTATATATACATTTAATAACACAATTTAATTCTCTGTTTAGAGTATAGAGAATACTATAGAATTCAGTGACTATGGAACCTATTTTTTTTCTTTTTTTGTGTTCTTTGTGTTTGTTCATTCCTTTATTCATTCATTTTCTTTTCAGCTTAGTCTCTTTATTAATCAGGGGTTGCCACAGCGGAATGAATCGCCAACTTATCCAGCATATGTTTTACGTAGCAGATGCCCTTCCAGTTCCACCCCATCACTAGGAAACAACCATTTACTCTCATTCACACACATACACTACAGCCAATTTGCCTTACCCAATTCACCTCTGGCACATGTCTTTGGATTTCTGGGAGAAACCAGAGCACCTTGAGAAAACCCATGCCAACACGGGGAGAACATGCTAACTCCAAACAGTAATGCCAACTGACCCAGCCGAGGTTTCGAACCAGCAACCTACTTGCTGTGAGGCGACAGCACTACTCACAGTGCCACGCTGCCTCTGTGTTTGTGTTTAGCAGTTTTAGAACAAATGGTGAAATTAAACAAAAGGCTTTTAAGTTTTATTCATGCATCAAGGATTGAATAACTTCAATTATTAATACTCATTATTAATATTATTAATTAATATAATTAATTGAGGTGTTGATTTGTAAAAAAAATAAAATACATAAAACTAGAAGTTTTAAATTTGTTTTTGCAAATGCAGTGGGTAAATACAACACTCTTGTTTAGTACACATGCATATCAAACCAAAAAACCCATAAAACAAATTTACAGTAGGAATTTGTTTACCATTACAGCCCTAATGCACTAAAAACCTTAGCTGCTACTTACAACAATATAGCATAAATACACTTGAAACAATTAGAACACCCTAGCAAACATTTCAACACCATATCCTACTGTACCTAACATTCATTCATTCATTCATTTTCTTTTCCGCTTAGTCCCTTTATTCATCAGGGGTCGCCAAAGCGCAATGAACATGTCATGTCGCATGTACAGGTAGTTAGGATGTAAGCTGCTCAGCTACTGTTTACATTTGTTATATTAGTATCATTTGCTATCTATAATCTGTATCTCATTGCAGCGACTGCTACTATTATGACAGATTGTGCTGACAATCGAGATACTGTAGTTCCAAATGCAAAAAGTTCCAAATGTAGCTTTAATATAAAGTGGAATGGTCGTACAGGCAAGGGAAAACAAGAGCACTGAGAACAATGGAGAAAATCCTAAACATAATTCAGATAACAAGCGATGGTCAGGACAGAGAACGATTGAAAACAGGTACAGGGATTAAAACACAGACAGGCAAACACAGGTAAATGCTTTCAAATGCGCATAAACAGTAACAAGACTCAGCAAAGAGTGTGTGAAACTGGGTTGTATATAGTCTATTTAATCATTGAGGATGACCATCACCTGAGTCTGTGTGTCTGTGTGTGTATGCGTGTGTGCATGCGTGTGTGTGTGTGTGCGTGCGTAATCAGTAGGAATAAGGAACTGGTGTTCAAGTGGTGCATGATGTTATTGAAGTATATGATGTAGTTCTCCAGCGATTTGCAAGTATTTGATTGCTGGTGATCATGACAGCTACTGCTACTAGACGTCGCATTTTCAACCGTTCCCACATAAATTGAAAGAGCCTTCAAAACTAAAATTAAATACACTATGCTTTCTGCCAAGTCAACCCGGGCTGCTGAAATATAATTAAGTAAACTGGCAGTGGATAGAGTTATACCAGCCTGATCTCACGAGAAAACGTAAGTATTTTAAGTTTTGCCAGTTTAGTGGCTAATTCGTACAAATTCGTACGATTTCAGTCGTACGAAATGATACGATTTTAAAAAGGAGGCGTGGCACCTAACCCCACCCCTAACCCCAACCGTCATTGGGGGATAAGCAAATCGTACTAAATTGTACGAATTAGATCGTACGAATTCATACGAATTAGCCACTAAATGAAAAAGTTATGAATTGCCGTGAGATTGTGTTGGTTTTACAGAAAAAAAACAAAAACAAACATTCTGACACTGATCACTCTTTTTAAGGGAGAATTACTAATCGTAGCATTGTTTTTTTTATATACTATGATATTTTTATGCACTAGAAACAGTGTTTCCCATCCCTGTTCCTGAAGGCCCACCAATAGTAGATATTTTAGATGTCTCCGTTACTGTATCTGACCCCTTAACTTCAGGTCTTGGAGTCACTACTAATGTTGATTCAGATGTGTTTGATTACGAAGAGTTTGAAAATCTGTACTGTTGCTCTGCCTTAAGGAAGAGTGTTGGGAAGCACTGCATTCAAAAACATACATACAGCACCTTTAACACTGTGGCTGCGAGTTTTGCTAGGCAAGCAGCACCACTCCTGTTTCTTTCAGAAAATATAACAACTGCTTGATTCTTTTTCTGCATTGCAAGCGCCGCTGTTTCCTTCAGAAATGCTAATGCGGGTATAATAGAAGCCATATATTATAGCTGCTAAATGTGAGGCATTTTTTTAAGCTGATGTAGCTCAGATATAAATGATGCCTGCCTCTCAGAGTATGGTTTTGATTTAAAATAGTCTCTGTCTGTGAATATTGATTTGTGTTTGTGCTTGCGCAGGGTGCAAAGCGTATGCTCTCTCTAGGCATCACGGGTCCCGAGGGGCATGAAATGTGTCGTCCAGAAGAAGTGGAGGCGGAGGCCACACAGCGTGCCATCACTATTGCTCATGCCACAAATTGCCCGCTTTATGTGGTACACGTCATGAGCAAATCTGCAGCGAAGGTGGTGGCTAATGCACGCAGAAATGGTAAGACTAAAGCACAAATAACACTCTTAGAATAGAAGAGTTATTTTATCGCACTGATTGTTTCCTGTCAGGTCGATTGGTGTTTGGAGAGCCCATTGCGGCTGGACTGGGCACAGATGGCACTCACTATTGGCATGAGAACTGGGCTCATGCTGCTGGTTTTGTCATGGGCCCACCATTGAGACCAGATCCCAGTACCCCTGGATATCTGATGGACCTGCTGGCCAAGTATGGTTTCTACTTCCTAACTTGCATTCTTTTTTTTACTCCACGAAATGCAAAAGGTTATGTTCATGTGCCAAATATAAAGTGATGAAGATGAAGCAATCAGATGAAAATGTGTCCTATCTTACAGTGATGATCTAAGCGTAACAGGAACAGATAACTGCACATTCTCTGTGTGCCAGAAAGCCCTTGGGAAAGATGACTTCACTAAAATCCCAAATGGAGTCAATGGTGTTGAAGACCGCATGTCTGTTATATGGGAGAAGGGAGTGGTCAGTGCCTCTGAAATTAATCCTATAATAGAAAGACTATCCATACATCCATCCAACCATCTAGCAATCAATCCTCTATTCTAGTCTGTCGATCTGTCTGTCAGTCTGTCCATTCATCCATCCATCCATCCATCCATCCATCCATCCATCCATCCAGCAATCAGTCATTCATTCATCTGTCTGTCTGTCCGTCTGTCTGTCTGTCTCTAAATCTATATCTGTTCATGTGTCTTGTCTTGTCTGTTTATCTATCCATACATTTATCCATCAATCTAATCGTATATTATAAAGACTATCCATCCATCCATCTAGCAATTAATCATCTGTCCATCCATCTGTCTAGCTTATTCCTATAACAGAAAGACCATCTGTCCATTCATTCATCCATCCATCCATCCATAAATAAATCCATTCATTTAGCAATCAATGATCTATACATCTATCCATCCGTCAGTTTATCTGTATGTCTATCTATCTATCTATCTATCTATCTATCTATCTATCTATCTATCTATCTATCTATCTATCTATCTATCTATCTATCTATCTATCTATCTATCTATCTATCTATCTATCTATCTATCTATCTATCTAAATCTTGTAATAGAAAGACTATGCGATTATCCATCTGTCCATCCATCCATTTTTTAATCATACATCCTTCGTCCATCTGTCTATCCTAATCCTATAATAGAAACATCCATCAATTTAGCAATCAATCATCCATCTTTAAGTCGATCTATCAATCTATCTTAATCATATAATAGAAAGATTACCCATCCATCCATCCATCTATCATCCATTCATCTATCTGTCTGTCTGTTTAAATCCGATTAGTTCATCCATCCATGTCAATCATCTATCCATGTCCATCAGTCTATCTATCTATATATTTAATTCCTACAATAGAAAGACTACCCATTCATCTGTCTGTCCATCTATCAATCATCCATCCTTCCAATCATCCATCCATCTGTTAATCATCAATCCATATGTCCATCCGTCTATCCATTAATCTGTTTATCTATCCAGTCTCAGTGCAGTGCTGAACTTTGCTGAACTTTTATCATGGTTGTGGAAAATAAACTAACAAAAAAAACCCTGCAAAAAAAAAAAAAAATCCCATTTTGTTTTCATTTTCCCTAGCACAGCGGAAAAATGGATGAAAACCGGTTTGTAGCAGTCACCAGTACTAACGCAGCAAAAATCTTCAACCTTTATCCTCGAAAAGGGAGAATTGCTAAAGGCTCTGATGCAGACTTGGTCATATGGGACCCAAAGGCCAGCAGGTAAATCACAGCAGCCTAGAAAACTGTGCGTGACCTCATTTACATGCTTTAATGAATCATGAGTCGTATTTCAATGTCCAGGCATTACAAACAGATGGCCAATGTTAATACAAAGTGTACTTTTAATACATTCTTCACATATTACATATTTAAAAAGTGTGAACAGCCTTGTAATAAAACTTAAAATGCAAGACTTTCACTGACTTCCTATAAAGATTTTTTTTTTATGTAAAGAACCAGGAGAATCAAAAAGATTTGACATTCAAACATGCTCAAAAGAGAGATTTATGATGTATACTCATGCAATGTTCAAAATAATGCCAGAAGAGGTATTCAGAACACTATGTACAGTAAATATTTCATGCATAGAAAGGGATTAATTTAACATGTAGTCTCACATATAGCCAGGTCAGATCTACAGCTTTTGAACAAATCACTGACCCTACAATGAGTATGTTTACATGGACACCAATAATCCGATTTTAATCCGATTTAGACAATGCACTGATTAAGAGTCTAACATGTAAACAGTGATTAAGACGTGGAATACGCATATTTTTACTCGCATTTTTAAAGTGCACTAGAGACATGTAAATGCCTTAATCAAACTATTACCATCGTGTAGGATTTTAAACGAGTTTTGTGACAGAATAGTCTACACACAGCTGTTTGACACTATTCTCTGCACCTTCCGAGTCAGTACAGGACCTCAGACACCAGCAATGCGAAATCGTTCCATTCAGCAGTTTAAAAACATTTTAAACTTGTGAAACTCACTCTTCTTGATCACATTTGATGATGATTGATGATCCTAGCAAACTGGACAGACCTTTTATTCCCGGTTGCTTTGCGCACGTCCTGTCTTGTTGATATGATTATACACGTGACTACCAGGACATGTTAATACACAGCTATCAATCAATTCGGTGGGCGGGGGGACTCCTACGTCAAGTTGTGGTCTGGGTGTGTTTATATCACCCCAATATGACGGTCTATACACTATACCTACAAATATCACTGCAAAAAATGCTTTTCTTAGATTTTTTTGTCTTGTAAATATCTAAAATTTCTTATATCAAGAAGCATTTTCTAGACAAGCAAAACATATTGTCTTGTTTTGAGAAATAAAATGCCAATATTAAGTGAGTTTTTCCTTAAAACAAGCAAAATAATCTGCCAATGGGGTGAGCAAATTAATCTTGTTTTTTTTTTTTGACGTAAGATTATTTTGCTTACCCCATTGGCAGATTATTTTGCTTGTTTTAAGGAAAAACTAACTAACTCTGAAAACAAGACTATATGTTTTTCTTGTCTAGAAAATGCTTCTTGATTTAGGAATTTTAAGATATTTGGACTAGAAACAAGACAAAAAATCTAAGTAAGAAAAGCATTTTTTGCAGTGTGTCTGTCTAAATAGCTTGAAAAGTAAATTTTTCACCATAGGTGCCCTTTAAGACAAAATTGGAAAATAGAATCAAGGATTTTAAATATATTTTAGGGATTTCTGCGCAGCTAATATTTAAAGTTTTTAAAGATAGCCCTATTTTATGGTAGAGAGAGCTCATTTAAGAAGTATTGCAAATATGTGTTTTTTTTTTTTGTTGTTGTTTTTTTTTTTTTTTGCTTATTTTGATTAATTTGTATGCTTAAAGCTACTTTAATTAAATAAAGCATTTATAATAATCAAATATAAATCAAAAAGTGGAAAATTAGATAAGATTATTACTTACAAAATTAACAATAATAATATTAAATTGAGAAAAAAGCTATTTTCTTGAGGTGAAAAATAACCGGGGCCCTTTTTGCTACACTCAATTTTTTTTTCTTGTTCAAACTAATTTAAAATGAGCTGAAATAACACAATTCTTGAGATTTAATTGGGACAACTTAATTTTTTTTATGTTCAAGCCGCATAAATTTGTTAAAAGTGTTAAGTTAACTTAATCAATTTGTGTTGGGACAACATGAAGAAATTGTGAGGGACCCTGCATTTATTAACAGTGTTTCAAGAGTTCACACTTTTATATTGCTTGATACTATTAGCAGGTTTGGCATGCTGTCCCGGGAGAGAACCCTGTGCTCAGAGATTATTGAGCCCAAGGCTCCCACCTGGTTGATAGAGCATGTAAGGAGAGTACAAGATCAGATGGTTCTCAAGAGCTCCCCGTGGTAAAGGAGGAAAGGGGGAGAAGGGGTGGATGGGGGGTTTATTCGGAAAGAGATAAAGGAGTCATTTTTGCTAGGCTACTTACTGTATAGTGCATTTATATTAATCTGATTGGTGAACTAATGATTGTAGATGAGAGACTAGCTGCAGTCAATCATATCACATGGTCCTCTCGAAATTAGTTTGTGAAACTTCACATAGCCCCATGGCCCAATATGTTCTTAATCCGGCCCTGCATGGCATAAAGCTTTTATTTGCCCAATGTGTCACCGTACATAAGCTTCAGTCTTTGAGCATCTTCATTTCATGAACACTTGAATTTATTTGTAGCTGAACATTTTTAAACATCACATGAATTGCCCCTTTCCTGATTTTTAGAGTGTTTTTACTCCCATATTTGATCTGACATAACAAAAACCATAAACAGACCTGAGAAATGTGCTTATTATGGAATGCACGCATGTATGCGGGCTCAGACATCTGTGCTGAAGGTTGAACATGCTTCTAGATGTTGCCATGACGAAGCTTTAATACAGTGGATTGGCTGTAAAGACGTGACCATAAATGGAAGAACTGTGAATCGTTCTTCCTGCTCAAACACGTCGTTTGTAAAAGAGCACGCATGAGAGGAGAGGACGGAAACAGCAGACGGCCCTAAGTCTTATATAATTGGGCCACGTTGCGGTTCCTTTTCCCCATGAATCTGGGCTAGCTCCCTCTAGGCAAATAACCAACCGCTGATGTGAGTTCAGCGGCGAGGACCAATGTGCTGAAGTTTAGTGCACAACAGCGTTGCATTAATCAGAGCTGAACGATTGTGTAAGCCGCGCTAATAAGACACCGGTGACGTGTCCTGATGTACATTAGACAATTAAGGGCAACTGGATGTGTGTTTTTTTAGGGGAAAATAACGGAAAACATTATGATTGTTCATTATATTTGCATAATCCTACATTTTTTTGCAAACAGTCCTAATTGTGCCTTACATTTGATTGAACTGACAGTTCATCTGTGAAATTGCATAATTATCCATCCATCTGATTATTATTAGGATAAAGCAGTAAGACAAAAGAGATTTTACTGTGGGTAAGAGTTATTTACAGGCTTAGTGAAGAAGAAGTTTATTAAAATCTATATTTGTTAATATATTGTTACATTTATTGCAATTTTTACATTTATATATAATGATTACAGTTTTTCTCAGTCGCTTTGGTGCATTTCTCACAACACGATTTACATTTGCACAACAGTTAATGCATTTCTCAAAACAATTAGTCATTTGTGCATATCATAGTAGCAGTTTCTCATTCCTTTAAACAAATTGGAAATGCTTTCGGACATGCATCAATTGCTTTCATTCAACTTTCTGCTATTTATAACATTATCATCCGCCTATGTCATGTCAGTCAAAATGAACTAAACTTGTAAATACTGAATAGTCACTCCATATAAAACTAACAGTCCTCATTTCATTACTTGAGTCATTACATACAAAAATGTTGAACTAGTTGTCAAAATCTTGCAGGCTAATTTTATAAAAAAAATAAATCTTTATTTAACTGAAAATGTCTTCTAAATTGAACAGTTTCGTGAATGATTTACAGACCTGTGTATGTATGTTGGTTCAGTTCCAATATGTTCTGCAATATTGCTTACAGTTGTGCACAGTTCAACCCAAAGAAAGTTTATGTTTGTTGTAAATAAGGGTGTATTTATTCTTCTGCACAATGCTATGAAAAAAAATCAAATTGTTAAGAGCAAATGCAGAAAAAATGTGAAACATACATATTCAGTGTCTTATACTCAGATGACTCACTCAATGCAGTGATGTCTCACTTTACTGTATTTTTAATTGGCTGTGCTAATAGTATATAGTACTATCTTGAGAATTTTCAGGAAGTTTCACCAAAATATGACTTTTTTGCATTAAAAATGTACAGAGTAAACTGATATAATGAAAACATGAGTAAGCCATTTGACTATCTTGTTCATAAACAATGGTGTCAGGACTTTTCATTTTGACGATACTGACAGTTTGATTGACATCAATACTTGCTTTTGAGGAATGAACTATCCATTTTGAGCAAGTGACCCGCTTTTGCAGGTTATCAGCTAGGTTTTGCAACTTGTACTTATTGTTTGAGAAATGCATTAACTGTTGTGCAGAAATACACCGGTGTTGTGAGAAACGCACCAAAGCGACTGAGAAAAACTGTAATAAACCATTTAAAACCATGTACTTTATACATAGCTTTAAAAGAGTATAAATAAGGATTTTATGTAGTTTTTCAACAATACTTATGATTTAGAGTTGACCTCAACAAAATGATATTTATGTAATTGATTAGGATAAAAAACTATTTCCATGTGAAGACAATAATTGCAGTTTTTAATTCTGAAACAGTATTTAAAGTGTTACAGTTTTTCCTCAGTCGCTTTAGTGGATTTGTCACAACATTATTTACATTAACAACAGTTAATGCATTTCTCAAAACAATTAGTACAACTGAACTGCAAATCCTAGTTGATAACCTGTAAAAGCATGTCACTTGCTCAAAGCGGATAGCTCATTTCTCAAAAGCAAGTATTGATGTAAATGAAAGTGTCAGTGTGATCAAGATGAAAACTACTGACACCATTGTATATGAACAAGATAGTCAAATGGGATTGTCATGTTTTCATTATGACAGTTTACTCTGGACATTTTTTTCCCCCAATGCAACGAAGTCAGATTTTAGTGACACTTGCTGAAAATGCTTAATACAGCACTAGATACTATTTGCACAGCCATTTGAAAGCTACAGTAAAGTTAGACATCACTGCATTTAGTGAGGTGTCTGAGCACAAGACACTGAATATGTATGTTTCACTTTTTTATGTATTTTGTATTTTATGTGTGTGTAAAAATACAAAAATATGTATTTTTCACACTCTATTTGCTCTTTGCAGTTTTAATTTATTCACAGCATTGTGCAAAAAAATAAATACACCCTTATTTACAACAAACATAAACTTCCTTTGGGTAGAGCTGTGCACAACTGTAAACAATATTGCAGTACATATTGGAACTAAACCTACAACACACATATGTCTGTAAATCATTCATTAGAAGACATTTTCAGGGAAAAGAAAAAGATATAACATATTTTATAAAATTAGCTTGACAGATTTTGACAACTAGTTCAACATTTTTGTATGTAATAACTCAAGTAATGAAATGAGGACTATTAGTTTTGTATGGAGTGACTATTCAGCATTCACAAGTTTAGCTAATTTTGACTGACATGACATAAGCAGATGTAATGTTAGAAATAGCAGAGAATTGCAAATGTAAATAGTGTTCTGAGAAGTGCACTATAGAGACTGAAAAAAACTGTAACCTGCAAAAATTTACAAAACCTATGAAATTCTGTAAAAAAATGAATCTGCTATATATTGGAAAAAAGTATTTTAGTACTGAAAAGGTTACATAGTAAAATGTTACATGTATTGAACATATATCAGCATGTTACAAATCAAGTCGATGTACACTCACCGGCCACTTTATTAGGTACACCTCTCCAACTGCTCATTAATGCATTCACATGGCAGCAACTCAATGCATTTAGGTGTGTAGACATGGTCAAGAGGATCTGCTGCAAACCGAGCATCTGAATGGGTAAGAAAGGTGATTTAAGTGACTTTGAACATGACATGGTTGTTGGTGCCAGATGGGCTGGTCTGAGTATTTCCTGATCTAATGGATTTTTTTAACTGGGATGTCAGCTAAGAACAGGAAATTGAGGCTGTAATTTGCACAGGCTCACTATTGGACAATTGAAGATGGGAAAGACGCTGCCTGGTTTGATGAGTCTCGATTTCTGCTGCGACATTCGGACGGTAGGGTCAGAATTTGGCGTCAACAACATGAAAGCATGGATCCATCCTGCTAAACATCAATGGTTCAGGGTGGTGGTGGTGGTGTAATGGCGTGGGGGATATTTTCTTGGCACACTTTGGCACATTTGTACCAATTGAACATCATGTCAACGCCACAGTCTACCTGATTACTGTTGCCGACCATGTTCGTCCCTTTATGACCACAGAGTACACATCTACTGATGGCTACTTCCAGCAGGATAACACACCATGTCACAAAGCATAAAGTTTCTCAGACTGTTTTCTTGAGCATGACATTGAGTTAACTGTACTCAATTGGCCTCCACAGTCAGCAGATCTCAATCCAATAGAGCACCTTTGGGATGTGGTGGAACGGGAGATTCAAATCATGGATGTGCAGCCAACAAATTATGTCAATATGGACTAAAATCTCAGGAATATTTCCAGTACCTTGTTGAATCTATGCCACGAATGATTAAGGCAGTTCTGAAGGCAGAAGGGGGTCCAAGCCGGTATTAGTAAGGTGTACCTGATAAAATGACCGGTGACTGTATATTATTTAATATAATTATAGTACAATTTACCATATTCAAAACTTAAAGGAAATAAAAGTGTTTGCAATATTTTGGCTGGTATGTTTCAGCCTTTCTTTTCCCATACTGCAACATTTATCATATTTAATTGCTGAAATATGTCTTTCACAGCATTATAATAGATGCAACAAAATATACAGTATGTGAAATAGTACAGTGCATGTATTAAAAATGAATCAATTAATCGTAATTAAGACAAATGTAGTACGAAAAGCCAATTACCATTACACAATAAAAAGCTATTACAGTCCACAGGTTTTACTGTCTTCCTAAATTACCTTTTGAACACAAAAGCTGTCATCTCCATCACGTTTTTTGCTGTTTTGTCTCAGTTTTAGAGACAGATGGCCACTCAGAGCTCATTCTTTAAACTGTGCTGATACAACAGTGGAGGGGAAAAATTGCTGAATTTAGGAAACAACAGATTTTGGAAGAAAACTGTAGTTTGCTATTTTTTACACCAAATTGGCTCAGATGCTACACTGTTGATGGATTAACCTGATTAGTTTCAATGCATCATGATTAAAGATACAGCATGATTTACCGTAAGATGCATATTTATCTGCTTATTGTGCTTAATCTTAGAGTGATTTCAGCAAAGACTCACCACCAGGCTGTGGATTATAACATCTTTGAGGGAATGCTGTGTCATGGGGTTCCAGTGGTCACAATTTCCAGGGGGAAAGTGGTTTATGAAAATGGCAAACTGTTCACAAAGCCGGGTGAGGGACGATACATTCCGCGCAAACCCTTTGCTGAATTTGTGTACAAGAGAATAAATCAACGGGAAAAGGTAAGACAGATTTGGACTCTATGGCCCTGTTTATACATGATGGTGGTAAATGGATAGTTCACCCAAAAGTGAAAAACTGTTGTCATTTACTCACCCTTGGTTTCTCACAAACCTCTTTGACTATCTTTCTTCTGTTGAACACAAAAGAAGATATTTCGAAAAAATGCTGGACCACTTACTTCCATAATATATATATATATATATATATATATATATATATATATATATATATATATATATATATATATATATATATATATATATATATATTTTTTTTTTTTTTTTTTTTTTCCCCTCTCAAGGAAGTCAATGGTTACAGGTTTCTAATTGGTCTCAACATATTTTCAGTTTGTGTTTAACTTATAAAGTTATAAGATTTTAAACCACTTGTGGGAGAGTACAATTTTTGGTTGAACTATTCCTTAAGGGTGTGTTTTTGTCAAAATGTTCACAAAATAAACACAGGTGTAAACATGGTCTAAAACATTTTGAGCTTTTCCAATTTAGACCACATGGCATGCAGTGGTAAAGTATAGGAGAAATGTATTTGGCGTAATTCCTAATTATTATGCAACATAAGAACATTAAACAATATTCTCTTACCTGTCCTGATTCTAACCCAAGCTTATATACAGTGTTCAGGGTTGTTTCATGGATATCAGAGGATAAATATTGCTGTCCATGTTTCTTTCTGCTTTTTGCATTTATATGTGAATTATGCAAGCTTATTTTACAGTATTAGATCACGAGATCCGAAAAATCCCATTCATACACTCCAAACCAAGCAGTAGTGTCAGGTTTTGTGATTACATTGACAAAATCTTTCTTAATAAGGGATGTAAACAGGGCAAAATTGCCCCACAGAGCTCTAAAATATCAATATAAATGAGGAAATTAAGGAAGAAAGCCCTGTAGGTTACCTATAATGCTACTGTTGTTTTTTTTAGGTTGGAACTCCGAGTGCTGTATGCAGAGAACCATACACTGGAGAAATCATATCTATTGGTCTAAAACAATAGTCCTGAATCATGGAGGAAAACTGTTTTACAACAAAGATGGTTGTGCAGTACGTGTACATTTTTTAAATGTAAGGCTGCAGTTAAAGCCAAAGAATTAATTACAGTCTAATGCCACAGAAGAAACTTCTAAATCCCCAAAGAACTTTTGAAAAACACAGAAAGTATCACACTGCTCCATAAAACTGTTTTAAAGACACTTAAACTTTACACCGATCACTAGAGCACTAACTCAATCACTTTCCTTCAGCTTTCTAGAACAAAATACACACCCAGACAAAAGTCTTGTCGCCTATCCAGGTTTTAAGAACAACAAATAATAACCTGACTTCTAGTTGATCACTTGGTATGAAAAGTGGCTTATGTGAAAGGCAAAGGCCTCAAGATTACGCTTATTTTACCAAAATAAAATATGATCATGCCTTGATTTTTAATGATTTAACTAGGAGAGTAAGGTCTGCTTAAGTGCTTAAGTCTTATTTAACAGAAATAATGTACGGTATACAATATATAGTCATGGTGCAGTGGAAAAAGAATGAATATTGTGTATGACTCCCATGATCTTGGAGGGCTGCATCCATACATCTCTGCAATGACTCAAATAACTGATTAATAAAGTCATCTGGAAAGGCAAAGAAAGAGTTCTTGCATGACTCCCGTGGTTCATCAAGATTCTTTGAATTCATCTTAAATGCCTCCTCCTTCATCTTACCCCACACAATCTCAATAATGTTTATATCTTGTGACTGAGCTGGCCAACTCTGGAGCACCTTGACCTTCTTTGCTTTAGGAACTTTGATTTAGAGGCTGAAGTATGAGAAGGTTTGCTATCTTGCTGAAGAATTTGCCCTCTCCTGTGGTTTGTAATGTAATGGGCAGCACAAATGTCTTGATTCCTCAGGCTGTTGATGTTGCCATTCACTCTGCAAATTTCTCACAAGCCTCTATACTGAATGTCATTAAATAAACCATGATTTTTCCTTGACTTATTTCTGTGAGAATCTAGGGTCCATGTGAGTTCCAATAGGCCTTCTGCAGTATTTGTGATAATCAAGTTATTATTTGTTGCCCTTACAACTGTTATCGACAACAAGATATTTGTCAGGTAGTTATTACGCCCCAAGTCTAGGGGAAACGAAAAGGGCATAATAAACGAAGAACAAACAAATGTGTTGGGGTGGTGGATTTCCCAAACTAAACAAAACTTAAAGCAAAAGATTCCCTTCGGTCGACAACCAAACTCACACACTTAATTGAGAGTATATATGAAGATACTTATTATAGAAAATAGGGTTTATATAAACGAGCATTTCGTCAGGGTGACCACAGGCCAAAATAACAAACAAAAGAATCTATAAAATAAATCCACTAAATTACCTATTACTATTTAAAGAAACATACAAGAATCTTACCTGACTCCCTAATATAAACAAAGTCAAAAGTAATCAAATAAATAGGCAGGTCACCCCTACACGCTCAAACTCTCAATAAATATTCAAGCATAGGATGGTCATCAATACAAAATTGATTATTGTTGGTCGTCGGCCGAAGGGGTGAGGGAAACCCAGGAGCTCCACTCCAAACACCGAACGCAGCAGAAATGAGCTCCCCGATTCCTGCCGGAAGCTCCCTTTTATACAGGCCTCATAGACCAGCAGCAAATCAGAGCAGGGAATCACGCCGGCGTGGGAGCCTATAAGACATCAGAAAAACAGCAAGGAGGCGGGACAAAAGAAAAAGGTGTACAATCCGCAATAATAAAAAAAAGTAAATAAACTTCAGTCGTAACAGTAGTGTACAGTCAAAAATGGTTCTACTAGGAAATAATAAAGAACCACTTATATTCTATTTATGAACAATGATCAATGATCATCCTACCACACATAAAAAATCATAAAGTATTGCCAAATATAGTATGTGACTAATATTTGTCCTTTTTCTTTTTTCCCTCTGAAAAATGTATAACTTTTTAAAAATTACTCTTTAAATGAAAAAAAAATCTATACAGCACACCATGTTTTAGAAGTCTCTTATATTTAATGACACATATTTTAAAAGCATATAACATTATTGCTCAATTTATACTCAATATATATTCATGATGTTCTTTAAATGAGATAATTCTTAAGTTCTCAGATTCCACAAATGATTAAGCAGCACAATGTTTTAAACATTTATGATTACAATAAGAGATGTTGTTAGAGATTACAATAAGAAACCAAAACATGACTCAATGAAAGAGTAATTTAACACTGAAGAATGAAGTAATGATGCTCCCATTTCAGCTTCACCATCAACAGGAATAAATTACACTCATTCTAATTGAAATCTATTCATTGAAATATATTTTAAAAACATATTCATATAGATTAAAAATATATATTCATATAGAAATATATTTAAATTTATGAAATAGTTATTTTAAAATGTTATAACACTTCACAATACTGCAGATTAAATGCAGCTTTTATGAGTATAAGAGACTGACTTCCACCTCAGTTTGAGTTTGTTTACTCATGTAAGTACAGATACACATCTGGATTATGGACCATTGGCCTGTGCAATGTAGCTAAATTAGCTGGCTACACAAAAAAAAAATCATTGGTTGCAAACAATTTATATGGGTTGAATTTACGCAAACAAAGTTGAACATTATTAAATTTAAATAGTTTTTTTTAATTCAGCCATAAAAATTGCTTGCAACCACTTAAAACCACCTTTAAAAAAGTTTAAAATTCAATTAATCTTTTTAATTGAATTTACAGTGTAGCTAGTTATGTTTGAGATTAGCTTGCACAAACCTTGGGTTTTAGGCGGCTCGACTAATCACTCTTTTTGCCATGGTGTTATGGAGTAGCTGAGCTGAGCTACCTAAATGGTAGATTAAAGGTAGTTTAACTACCTTAATAGTACCTAAAACCCAAAATTGATACAAACTAAACTAAAATTTAAGTCAAAGTCAACTTCATTTTCAATTTAACCACATTTACCATGTACAGGACATACAGAGAATCGAAATTGAGTTACTCTCAGACCCTAGGTGCATAACAGTTAATATTATAAATACAATTACACATATAATTTAAAACATATAGGTAAAAATAAATAAAATAAAATTATATACAATGCAATTACAATTAGGGGAACATGGCAAGAAGTGCAAATCAGAGTTGTGCAGATGCAAACAGTTCTGTATATAGTGCAAAAAGCTCTGTACAACTCTGGTTTGCACTTCTTGCCATGTGCCCTTAATTGTAATGGCCTCTATGCACAGCTAGAGTTTTAAAGCCAACGATAAACGTCCGGTGAAAGCTCAATGTGACTATTTTCAATTCCACAAGGTCACAAGCATTGATGTTGTAATGTAATAACAGAAATAAAGTAATTCAGTTAAATAGACTTAAGCATTCATTTAGTTGTTCAATCGTAAAACAAGATTAAACACCGTTGTAACTACTAGCACCGTCAGTAGCAACAGGCTAGTGCAGAAACTCCATTGAAAATACTATGATAAAATAAACTGTCAAATTTTAAAGACATGACAGGGGGAAATGTAATTTAATTGAGTGCTTCTTGTCTGGTCTGAGACCTATCGTATATCTAACAGGCACTGAAATCAGATCTTAAACATGACAATTTCTTAATAGAAATACAGTTCATGGGAAGCCTGGCTGTGTGCATATAGCCCTTTGTATTGTATAGAATTTTAAACTTGTTTATACATTTTTTTTAACTGGCTATAGGCTAATCTAGATTTGTGGTACAGGCCCCATGCCAGTGGATCTACTGGAAAGTTTTAAGCCCAGGCCTGTAGGAATGAATAGTCCTAGTTCATGACTACTAAGGCTCCTTGATCAGCACAAACTAATCACTATCATGGCATATAACACTATTTGCTGAACACTATGTTTGGTCACTACAAAAAAGAAAACCTTTCTGCATACAGCAATGCTAAAGTACACAAATGGTGTGTTTTCCTCAAGTACTCAAACCTGTGATTATGGCTGATTAGGACACTTCAAACAGCGTCAGAATCTGTCCTGTGCTTACGGAAGAGTAATGGGCACCAGAAATCAGGCTGCAATAAAATTAAAAATAATAATTTGTTAAATGCAACCAATATCAGTTGAAGCAAAAACATGAACACGGATGTTTTAAGCTAAAGCTATAAGAGATTTCATGCATATAGTTTTTTTTTCAATATGAAGCAGTCATTAAACCACATAAATGTAATGTTTCTGGGTTTAGTCAAATAATAATAATAATAATAATAATAATAATAATAATAATAGTGTTAATAATAATAATAATAATAATGTTAATAATAATAATAATAATAAAAGTATAATAATAATGATAATAATTTTAACAACAACAACAACAATAATAATAATAATAATAATAATAATGTTAATAATAATAATAATAATAAAAGTATAATAATAATGATAATAATATTAATAATATTAACAACAACAACAACAACAACAACAACAACAACAACAATAATAATAATAATAATAATAATTAAACAATACAAATTTAAGTAAGAACAAATTTTTTATGAAATTACTTTTTTAAAGCCAAAAATATCTTACATTGAAATTATTTGTTTACATGTTAACATATTTTTTTAAAGTACACCAAATATTTACTTTAATATATTTTTACCAAATATATTTATTAACATTATTTTGTACAGATACAATATCATATAGATAATGATATGCTTTTTCACAACCAAGAACTAATGACCGTAAAAACTATGTAGTTATTAAATAACACAGTACATTTTCATTCATTCATTTTCCTTCCGCCTAGTCTTTGTTTCAGAGGTAGTCACAGCGTAATGAACTGACAACTATTGTAGCATATGTTTTATGCAGCGGATGCCCTTCCAGCCACAACCCAGTACTGGGAAACACCCATACACGCTCATTCACACACACACTCTTACACTAAGGAAAATTTAGTTCATCTAATTCACCTATAGCGCATGACTTTAGACTGGGGGAAACGGGAGCACTCGGTGGAAACTAACACGGGGAGAACATGCAAACTCCATATAGGGCATTTCTATATGGAGTTTGCATGTTCTCCCCGTGTTAGTTTCCACCGAGTGGAACTGGCCCTGCAGAGACTGTGAGGTGACAGTGCTAACCACTGAGCCACCGTGCCGTGCCACCCCCACAGTAAACAGTAAATATAAAAAAAATAATAAAAAGCCTTTTTTTCTCCTGCTTCAAGTCAGTCGTGTCAATATAATTCAACAAAGGTTTACATGTTTTGTAAAAATATTTTAAAGACCCTCTTAATGAAAACCTAATTTGTTCCAGCTTTAAACACAAAATTATTTCATCCATCTGTGCATTACGTAATTTTTCATTAATAAAAACTTGTGTTCTCCATAAGCAAAATTTCAAAATACTATTCAGTTTTAAGAATGATTCTTGTATTTTTTTTAAATAAATTCATTAATTTCAAAAATATTTTTAGACAGTGTTTCAGTGAATATTTCTGTTACCAAAATGCCCCCTTAAAACGTATAGAGCTACTAACCTGCACAGCTAAAGTCTTCAGATCCTTTTCATGATTTTCCACTTTAGTTTTGTACCGCTTTCTTAAAATCTTTGCATGTACATAGGCGGCACGTTTCTCTGCGACATCAGTAAAAAACTGCTCAGACAGCACAACTCTGAGCTGGACCATCTGTGATGACAGCAGAATCAGGACAAGCAGTGAGGCCAAAACCACAGACAGAGGCACCAGAGACTGAAAAAACCAAAGTTCCGGTTCAGGCAAACACTTCTTCTCAAACAGAGACACCGTGTAGGTGAAGTTTGCTCCTTTAATACTTTCATCAACAGGTAAACCTAGAATTAGTGTTGCTTCCTTTCAAAACAAAGGATATAGAAAATTAATATGAAATATTGACGATGAAATAAAATATTAAAGGTGAATATGAAAGTTTGTGCAATATCTGTGGTGATTTTCATATAATTTGATTATAGAAGAGATTGAAAACAGATTCTTTAGAGTCCACCCCAAAATAAAATACTCCAGTCATCATTTACTCACTCTCATGTATTTGGTCCCCATAAGGTCAATACTTACTGTTATTTGTTAGCCAACTTGTGGTGAGGCACAGTGTACGCACAGTGTACACACATACACATACACACACACACACACACACACACACACACACACACACACCGAGAGAGAGAGAGAGAGAGAGAGAGAGAGAGAGAGAGAGAGAGAGAGAGAGAGAGAGAGATTGAGGCTTTTCAACCTTGAGGTTTCTGTGACGAAATTTTAATGCAGTAAAGGTCAATAAAAAACAAAGTAGCAAGATTGTATCTAAAAACAGGTAATCCAAAATCAAACTGTGTCTTTTGTAACTCAAGTATCGAATCAGTTGATCATCTTTTTGTCAAATGCCCAGGTGTTAAAGTGTTTTGTCTGATTAATGTTTCATTCATTCATTTTCTTGTCAGCTTATTCCCTTTATTAATCCGGGGTCGCCACAGCAGAATGAACCGCCAACTTATCCAGCAAGTTTTTACACAGTGGATGCCCTTCCAGCCACAACCCATCTCTGGGAAACATCCACACACACTCTCATACACTACGGACAATTTAGCCTACCCAATTCACCTGTACCACAGGTCTTTGGACTGTGGGGGAAACCGGAGTACCCCACGCGAAGGCAGGGAGAACATGCAAACTCCACACAAAAGGGCCAACTGAGCCGAGGTTCAAACCAGCGACACAGTGGCCTTCTTGCTGTGAGGCGACAGCACTACCTACTGCGCCACTGCCTCTCCCGATTTTCAAGTGTGATATAATTTGTTACTTTTCTCTAACAAAACATAACTATATATAAAATATTATATTCACAAATGTACATTTTCTTATTATACATATTTCTTATTTCTATTTTAATACCTAATTTGCATAATTTTCTTTGTGACTTCAATTTTTTTTTACCATAAACATTTTGCATTGTACTAATTACACAAGTGTAAAAACAGTGAAATTACACAAAGATTACTTTGTAAATATTATTTGATTTGATAAATTTGCCTCTGCATTCTGTTTTATTATTATTATTATTATTATTATTATCATTATTATTATTATTATCATTTTATTTTAGTATGACTTATTTCTTTTAGGGGCAGCATGGTGGCGCAGTGGGTAGCACAATCACCTCACAGCAAGAAAGTTGCTGGTTTGAGCCCCGGCTGGGTCAGTAGTCGTTTCTGTATTGAGTTTGCATGTTCACCCTGTGTTCGCAAGGGTTTCCTCCGTGTGCTCCACTTTCCCCCACAGTCCAAACACATGCACTATAGCGGAATTGAATAAGCTAAATTGACTGTGGTGTATGTGTTTGAATGCAAGAGTGTATGGGTGTTTCTCAGTGTTGGGTTGCAGCTGGAACTGGAAGGGCATCATTCATATGCTGGATAAGCTGGCAGTTCATTCTGCTGTGGCGACCCCAGATTAATAAAAAGGACTAATGTGGAAAGAAAATGAATGAATAAATATTTTCTTTTATTTAAATTTCTACATTTTTTATTACTTTTTGGTTTATTATTGTACTTGATGTCACCCAGTGTTAAGGTTATTAATAAGATTGTATTGTTATAACCCAATAAAAAAAGAAACCAATGTGTGTTCAAGACTTGGATTAAATTTAAGTCTATGTGTATTCTATCTTTCTCTAAACACTCCAACTGTCGCAATTTTAAGTGAAGATTACAAAGGGACAGAAAATATAGACGACGTCTCCTCTCACTCACTTTCCTTCAGCTTAGTCCCTGATTATCAGGAGTCGACAAAGAGGAATGAACCATCAAGAAATTACTTGAGGGTGAGCAAATGTTGACATACTTATCATTTTAGCTTTATATGAATCCTTTGAATTGGCTTTATGTTTTAAAAAAATAATAATTAAACAACTCGGCTGCAGTTTTCAATCTTACCTGAACTTTAATCCCGACAGGAACGCGAAGTGGCTCAAGTTCACCGAGCCGTTTGCTCAGAACAACGATAAGCCAGTAAATCAGAGCGTCCAGACTGATAAACACCAGCCAGGTGAGGCAGTGTGTGAATATAGGAAGACTGAACTTCAGCATGGCTTTCCACTGCCGGCCTCTCGGGCGGATGGACGGCGTCACGACATAACGTTCAGATTCGCTTTTGTTGAGGGGAAGGACACACGGTTTTCCCTCCTGCATCTGCTGCGCGTCAAAGCAACGAAAGGTTTTCGTGATGTATATATTATTATACTTTTTATCTACCTGAAATCTCCTCAGGTATAAAGCAGTGAGAAGCACAAGAAACAAAAGACCCATTGCAGGAGACACAGTCTTTCCTATTGAAGATAGAGCATTGGCTAATGCTAACACACCCTGTGCTGTGTGGTTTAGATTCTGTTCGGCTTTGCTAAGGTGATTTTTGAAGTTCTCTGAGTCCACCTTTGCTTTAAGCCTAAAATCTGCTTGGTAACTCACTAACGTGACGCTTTTAAAGTAACTCTGAATTTGCTTTCCCACCCACTTGAGCATTTTAATATAATTTCCTAATGGTTCAGTGTTAATATCCAACAACTTCTCCTCTAAGTTGCAGAGGAGGCCTTTTGCAAGCAGTTTCATGTTTTGTAATGTGTTCTGGATGTTGAAGAAAACCACCAAACTGGTTCCTAAGGTGAGCAGTAGACTCTTCACTTGTTTCATACCCATCGAGATCAAGATCAAGGCTCCGAAACAGCGAATCCTTTTAGAGAAATACATCGCTGGTGTTAAGATTATACCGAAAACACAAGCGAGGGGAACTGAGACCTCTTGGATGCATCTGAAGGAAAGGTGGAGGATGAGGAAGAGGAAGGTGCTGAGAATGCAGCTGGTTGTAAAACAGGTAAACATGAGGAGATGTTTCTCCTTCCAGCTTTTTGTGGTGTTGGATGTGTAGAGAGCATATATCCTGGACCATACTTGTCGTAGACTTTCTGACAGCTGGTTTAGTTTAGTTTGGATCATCTTCATCTTGCAAACCTGATAGGAACAGAGGTTTTGAAAAAGGAAATAGTGATGGCTTATGATTTCATCACTGAATGATTAATGAAGCTTAACCTTTTGATTTCAAAAGCAAGGGAAACACTTTTAATGCACTACATGAATCTAAATTAGGCATGGAATGATAACCACTTTCAAGATTTACCGCAGTTTGGAAAACTTAAGTTTTCTGCACAATAAGTTTTTTTGTTTTGATTTTAGAGCATCAGTATCTCTAACAGCAAAAGTCCATCCACATTAAAAACTAATGGTCAGCCCACGATTTAGCAAACATTTGAAAAACAAATCGCTTCTGCACCAACATCCAAGCATGCTATGGACTTGAACCGTGCAGTGGGTTACTTCATATAAAAAGAAAAGAAAGATATCCAAAGATGCATTTTCAAGTTTGAAAAAAAATTAAAAAATTACTCAGTTTTAATTATTTATTTAACCTAACATGTTTACTGCTGTGTTTTATGGGGGGTGGTGGGGGAATAATTTTTCATAATTATATATATATATAATAATTATATATATATATAATAATTATATATATAATAATTATATATATATATATATATATAAACATTTGTTTGGAGATTCAGCAAATACAAATTTAGCAATGATTTAAATGTCATAAGAAATGAATAAGGGTAATTTTAGGCCCCATGTCACGCATTAGAACTCACAAAAATATTTTTTTTTACTTAAATGTAAAAAAGTAAATAAGAATTTGTGATTATCAAAAACTTAATTGAAGAATTCCTGCAATACCAAGGATGAAGTTAATTTATTGCAAATATATAAAAGATACAATCATTCGGTTAACTTTACACCCACGTAATGCATCAAATGTTTAAAATGGGCATATTATTTTGATACAAACATAATTAAAAATTTTGTTTGATCTAATCACTAAACTAAATGTGAATATGCATACTAGTGCAGCCATATCGCTCTGCTACTCGTGTGATAATGCTCATACAAATCAAAATTTTTATGTATGCTCAGCATAAGGACACCTTTCACAAATATATCTTATACTTCCTGTTTTTAATAGGAAGTTTTACAGTATTTGTGCATATACATTAGATTAGTCAGTAATGAAGCCAAATCTGGAGCTTACAATGGTCCAAAATACAAATTTTAAAAAGAGGAAAATCAAGAGAAACAAACTAAAAAAAGTTAGTTGAAATTTTGAAGATTGTATTAATTTTTTTGCCATATTTGGCTTGAATTTAATTGTATTATCTTTCAATTTTCTAAATGTGTTTGGTGACTAAAATATTATTTTAAAAAATGTATCTGTTCAATAAATCTGTTTTGTTTAAATGCACTAAAATACATTGCATATATTCACTGACAAAAAGGATCAAATTATTCATTTTCAAAAAGGGGTGTACTCAACTCAATTACGCTGAGCTATGTGTACACACACACACACACCTTGTGGTTTACTCATACATATGTTTAAATGAATAACTCAAAAAGTGTATTTAGTTATGATTAAAGTGTAAATAATATGTAGATGTCACTTGATTATATATGACATACAGACTAGTTTACCTTCTGGTATACCAATATTGAATTTGTAATGTTGAGTAAAGCTACAAAGTTACAACATTACAATATCAAATTTTTGTTAAAAAAAAACAGTTTAAATAGTCCTCATTCCACTAATTTGACCTGCCATGTTGTACATTTTTGCAGTATATACAGTAAGTAATTATTGTTATTATTATTTGACCTTACCTTGTGTACTGTCAGCAGTCTTGTCAGCTCATGAGTGTTGTGACTATCCAACATCCACGTTTTTAAATGGAAGCAGGAGGAAGTTTAATTGTTCGCTTCCTTTTTTGAGACAAAATCTCAGCACTTACTCATAACCACAAAGCAGCACTGACAAAACCACCTTATGATTAATCTGATTTCTGACAAAAAGCAATACATTTTTGTTGTTTGTGGAAAGCAGTGAGCCTGCTTTCTAAACATTTTGATCATTCTGAGAACATGTATGAAAATACATTTCCTGATTTTTCACATCAACTACTGTAAATGTACAATATAATCAGTACAATAATAACTTAATTAGTCAAGTATCACATTGTACTAATAATAACAATAATAATAATAATCAAAAACAAAAACTGGAGAAATCATATACTAAATAAAACAAGCGTTATTAATGTAGCTGATTGTGCTTACATAATACTATTTTTGAAATACTATTTATAAACTCGGAAGATGTAGAACTAGTAGTACTACATTCATTCATTTTCTTTTCGTCTTAGTCCCTTTATTAATCTGGGGTCACCACAGCGGAATGAACCAACTAATCCAGCACGTTTTTTTTTACACAGCGAATGTCCTTCCAGCTGCAACCCATCTCTGGGAAAAGTAGTACTACATTCACAATATATTAAACAAATGAATAATTACTAAAATATTATTATTTGTATTATTATTATCATTATTATTAAGATTATGTAAGATTATTAATACACAATGCCTAGGAAAATGATACCAGTACTACATTACTATAAAATTATTATAATTAGCTATATGTTAATTATAAACAATAATTATAAAGCCATATGTTCTTGTTGTTATAATAAAAATATTATTACTTACGGAGCTGACCATGCTGCTGTAATATTATTATGAACAAAAAACACAAGACCTAAGACAAGGTATACTATATATATATATAGTACTATATATAAATGAATGAATTAATGAATTAATTAATTAATTAAACATGCATTATTATTATTATTATTATTATTATTATTATTATTATTATTATTATTGATGATTTAGACCAGGTGTTCCCAAACTTTCTAGCCCACAACCCCCTAAAATAACAATGCCAGTGACTCGTCACTCCCAATATTCTCTGAGGTAGTTATAAATAAACCTTGCACATAACGGCCCACGTTACCAATAGGCCCAAGTCTATTTATCTTGAACAGTTTAATTTAGGAGAATGCCACTTGGAGATAATCCTCCATGTTCAGCTGTAGCCTGTATTTATTTTTAATGTATGTGAGTGCAGTAAGGGAAAGTTTAACCTGGTGCCATAAAATCAATGTGCTGCATCTGACTAATATTGCTGTGTCTTTAATATGACACCCCAGGGGTTGCAAAAAAATGAAAATCGATCTTTATTATTATCGTTAACAATATTAACTACTTTTTTCAGTTATGGGCAAAATATAGCAAATTCCAATTCCAATAATTCCAAATATAGCAATTACCCCCCCCCCAATTCCCCGCCGCCCAAATTGACTTCCATAGTACACTAAGTTCCAAGTATACACTAAATACTTACAAACATTCTACTCTGTTAATGTTAATGGCTACATATAAAGTAAACCGCTACATTCAATACACAATTCTGAGAAATGTATAAATACTGTATACATCTATTCCAGTGATTTCATGTCATGTCAGGAAACAGTATAAATAGAGACTTCTTGCTTTTGTTTGCGAACGCTCATTTTCCAGTGTAATATCCATTTTTTATTTTTTTAATTTGAAAAATAACTTACATAAATCTCTGTACTCAACCATACTTGACCAAGACATAGCCTTGGCATGAACACATTGCACCAAAAAGGAAATAAAAGAAAAAACAAACAAAAAACAAAAACAAAACAGAGAAGGCATTTGAAATAGAACAGAACATACCATAAACATGAGACATTATCCCACTTCAAAAAGCTTTAACAACAGCGCGAGAGTATCTTCAATGGACATTTTGTGATGTGTATACAGAAATCATAAGCAGACTAAATGAAAAAAACTCACATTGAGCGATTAACAAAACAAAAAAACGTAGGAAGAGGTATAATGTCTCGCTGTATAATTCCATTCAGGCATTAAAACTATGAGTCATAAACTTCTCAGATATAAGTAGCTCTGATTATTTCTAAAAAATAGAAAATGAAAAATAAATAGGTCTTGGCTTGTAAATAAACTAACAAAAATATATTAAATGACTTCTACTTTCTGGAAAAGGAAGAAATAAAAAGCAAAGGTATATCGAGTGGCAATATCATCGTCCCGATGTGCATTTCTCTGCAGACAGCATCATGCTCGGAAAAACTGTACAGCACAATACTGCCAAAGTCAGTGAGCTGCAGCGCCTCCGGTAAAAAGTGAAACTGTGGGCTCTTTAATCAGGAATACTGCAGCTCTATAGAAAAATCCCTGGTCGCGTTTTTCCCTTAAATTTGTCAACAACAAAGTATGATTTTACAAGGTGGAATGTTCATTCAGATTTTTTTTCCTTCTTTTTTTTTGGTCCTCATGAGACCACAGCCTAATTTCACTAAAATTCAATTCAGGGTGAAGAAGGGGTTCATCGTCGACATGCACTGTACATTTTTTTTTTCTCCAAATATCGTCTTTATCAAAACATGCTGAGTTACTGTAAGATGTGCCCAAGCCATGTTGCCAAAAACCCTTTTCAACATGCTTGTTAAACCAATGAACTCCAAACAAATATACAGACTAAAACTAGAAGAGCTGAGCCAAACCGACAGCCCTGAAAATGAAAACTAAAAACTGGAACAGTTTCAGGGGGAAATATCTGACAACAGAAGTACAGAGAGATTACCCTGGGACAAGGGAGAAGTTGAGAAACGTACAATTTGCACATCATCTTTAGCTTCAAAAGGCTTACGCCTTTACAATAATAAATCATAAACATTTATTCTTATACGTCTTTGTCACATGAACAGATTTTTTCACTGTAAATAAAATGTTAAACTCATCATTAATCTGTAAAAATACAGTAGAGAGACCAATGAACGGTCTACAGGACAAAAAACAAATTTTTTTTGTAGTTTTTTCAAATCACACTATAGCATTCACTCCCCATGAAAACCATGCACTAGTGAAATTTATCTTTAAAAATAATAGAAATCGTTGAAAATGGCTGATCTGGTTAGTTTTTTTTTCCTCATCATAATTTTTTTTTTTTTTTTTGCAAGTAGCATCTGAGAAAATTATTTTCTATTCGCTTTTTTTTTTTTTAAGTTCAGCTAAAGTTGTGTCCATGCAACAAAAAACTCGTCATTTCTTCTTTAAGTTTCATACAGTATCAAGAAAAGGAGTTCAATTTGATCTTGAAAGACGATTCAAACCTACATATCATCTCTGTATTGATCTAGCAGGATCATGTATCTGGGGAGTGAGGTGCTCATTCCCACGTCATGTTTTTTTTTTTTTTGTTTAGTTTTTGCGTGTACATTTCTGGGTCTGTTGGCATGGCTTGACCCAAGGAACACTGTTAGCCCATGTAGATACAAATACATCGACATTAAAAGAAACATTAATGGAAAACGAAAGTTGACGCTCCACCCTGTTGCAAAAAAAAGGGCTTCTGAAGAACTCGACGTCTCGGTTCTCAGTTCAAACTCGACTCCAATGGCTTCAAATAGGATCTAAAAGCAGGAATTGTGACGTTCCTCGAGCAAAGGAGCCCGTTTCCAGCTTCCTCACGTCCTTTCCCTTAAGAGGGCGCTCTTTTGTGCGCACAATATGTGCGTCGTTATTTTTTTTGCGAGCAAAAACAGGTCCGCTTTTTTCTCCCCTAAGAAACAAGCTCTGAACACACAACATCAAGCATGCAGTGTTTACCGGGGAACAGGACCTGTCGCCAATCTCAAACTCCACCCAATGGCTGCTACAATAACGCTAGATTTCAGAAAACTGCTACGAGCGAGCAAATGGCCCGGACCCACTGTCCAGAGATGTCTGGGAAGCTCTTCTGGTCAAAGGGGCTAAGGTTGGGTCGACCAGTGAAGATGGGGGAAACAGCTTAAACCAGCCAATAACCATGTTGGACAAGTCCAGATCATCTAACAGTATCTGAGCAGCTCCCATAAAAGATTTGTGGTCCATACGTCCATAATCTCCCCACACTATAATCTACAAGAGGAAGAGAATGAATTGCTGTCAATATTAAGTCACACTCATAGAAAAACAATGATAAAACAACTTCAGAATAGCAGGCTTGATGAAGCTATTATTAGTGTTTAATTCTATAATTGTATTTACTCTTATTTGTCTATATATGCGTATAGTTTTTTTTGTATTTATTAATATAGTATTACTATCAGTCTGCATGTTTTTTTCCTAACTCTATGTGCAGGTCTCCTATTGATTTATTTGCTTAATAAAAACAAAAAACAAATGTATTACATAAAATACTTGAAAGACATTATATAATTGTTCATATCAGTGTGAAATTTTGGACTAAGATACTTTTTTATTCAGAGTTGCAATGTGCCTACATGCACTTCCATAACAAAATACTATAGTGATTTTGATCATTACTATAGGGAAGTACTTCAATTCATTTGTTGTGATACTTATATACTATAGTAATTTATACAACCATATATTGGGTGTCACTTTATTTTGATGGTCCCTTTAACGCATTTTATTGAATTTAAGTTGCATTGCATATACATGCCAACCAATTCTCTATAGATTATAAGTAGACTGTTAGGTTGGGGTTAGGGTAAGTTGACATGCACTTGCAAAGTTTATTATAGTCAGTGAAATGTCTGTTGAAGGAGCAGTATCAGCAGATATTAAGCAGACAATCTACTGATACTCGCATGAGAAATAATTGGCATGTAGTTGCAATGCAAATGTTATGGCCCATTTCAACTGAGTGGGATGGTACACTGAAAAAAAATGTCTGCAAAATTGTTGCAAACAATGTATATGGGTTGAATTTAATCAAACAAATTAAATTGAGCAATGCTCAACTTGATTTGTTTGCTTACATTCAGCCCAAATAAATTGTTTACAACTACTTAACTTATACAAATTTAGTATATCCAAGGAATCATCTTTGAATCACTTTTTTTTCAGTGTATGGTGCGGTTTCTTTTGGTACGCTTTTATGGCCGTTTCCACTGTCAAAAGGTACCTAAAAGTGAACCGTACCGTACCACTTTTTGGGCACCCTTTGCAAAGGGTACATAGCATGACAAAAGAGCACCAAAAGGCGGAGCTAGACGCGCAGCTGAACGCTATTGGAAATGGGCCACAACTCAACAAAATGCGCAATAGGGACCATCAAAACAAAGTGTTACTCTATATTGTATTTGTTGTAAGTTTTCTACAGTTTTCTACATATTTTTTTTTTCTTTTCATTTTCTTTACTGTAGTAAAAGCTAACATATACTATGTTAATAACTATTACTTCACAATAGTTGCTAATAATACTATATGTAGTACATCAGTCACACCAAAGTTGTCAGCAAATGCTTTACCAGAACAAAATCAATGTAAACCAGAAAATAAGTATCAATAAAACAATAATGAAAAGCCATACAAATAAAATATTATCATTTTTAATTTAATAATAGGCATAATTTATTAACACTGACAATGTTGATTAACTGACTGATGTAAAATTTATATTATTAATAATGTTTGTGTTTTTCGCACTTAAATTGAACTTAAATATAACTCTTAGAAACGTGCATATACCCTGAATTTATTTTAGTTTTGTTATTTAAAAAAACATACCTGTAAAACTTTTCCTCCTGGAGACTCTTCGAATGACAGCTGCTGCTGGTAAAGAGGATCCAGTGTTTTTCTTGCTACTTTTGTTTTCTTTTTGGCTATGCAGGCGCCGTTCTCCAGTAGATACACCTTTACGTAAGGGGCTGGAGCAGAATAACAACAGATGGGGGTTAATCGTGAGCAGTGTCTGTGAAAACAACACCAGAAAGTCTTAAAGCATGCTCACCTGGCAGTGCCTTTGAACCTGGTTTTCCCACAAGGCCTCGGGCTCGGATCACCTCCACCTCTAGGGCTCCTTTCTTTTCCACCATCCCGATCTGAATGTCACCTAGACATGAAGGAATCAGGGGTATACCAGTTACACATGGATAGCATTGCAGTGAGGGCTTACATTGAGCAAACATTTGTGCAAGTGTGTACAAATATGCTTAGATACAAAACTGCTTTAGAGAAGGATTTATCCACCTTTTTCCTACAGTGCATCCCATGATGCTTTGTGAGAATTTTGTCTTTTTTTCCACTACACTTTTAAAAAATAGGCTAGTTTTACAACTTCGCTAGAGTTAAACAGTAACGTTTGACCATTTTTGTCTTCCGGGAACACTTTTAGCTTAGCTTAGCATATATCATTGAATCCGATTAGACCATTAGCATCTTGCTAAAAAATTCAAAAAGAATTTTTGAAAGAAAAAGCTGCCACACAAGAAATCATTAATTATTTCAGTTGTATTTATTATCTGAGTCTGAACATTCTTTTATTTTGAAAATCTTTTATTTTCAAAAATGACCGCTTTCTCTTGCTTACTTCACTTGAGTGCCCAAATTTAACCCACAAGCTAGTAAAATGAGTCAGAAACAGAAATCTTTGGAAAGATTCTTTGCTAAAGGGAAAAGGCCTAGTGAAGGACCCATGAACTGCCAATGAATGAATCCGTAACCCATTTGTCAACGAATCAGGTGAATCCAGCATGTCAGTGCCAGAAGAAGATCAAATACTAGAGGTCGCAAATGATGGCGGCCTTTTAGGGGGCATTTACTTATCATGTCTTTTCTGTGCGCAAATGTGTTACTCAATGGAGGAGAGTGGCTTGTAAGAGGCAGGATGCACTCAATCCTTCCAGGCACTTTCAGTTGAATTAATGCTGCGAGTCACAAGACAAGAACTGACCAATCACCTTCATAATTTATATGGAAAATACACATTTCAGTAGACTAATAATCTCAGACAAACAACTTTTCTTCATAAATAAAACTTGTATTAGAGTTACAGCAATGTTTTGTCTTTTTGTCATCCTCTGAGAAAACATTTGATATGGATTATTAGTAGTGCAATATAATTAGTTAAAGTGTTTTGGTACAGTTATTTTAAAAGAAAGGCTAATGCAGTCGAAATGAAGTGTTCATGTGCAGAAATAAGGTGGATAAATAAAGTTTAATAAAGAATCGCTCACCCATAGGAGGTGTGGCTAATGTCTGTCTGCCCACCAGCTGGGCTGGGCCAAGTCCATCCAGGAAATCACTGAACTGACTGTCTGAAGAGAGTCTCACTCCAGGGAAGATCAGGCTGAGAGGAAAAACAGATTGATCAGAGGAATACTAGAGCTCCACTTTCAGAAAGCGATGCTAAAGAGACTGTATTTGGAACAATCCACTGATTTAAAAAAAATAATCATTGTGCATTTACGGTATAGATTCACAGTGAAGAGCTATGAGGCGAAATGTTAAGGGAAACTTGTTTGTTTATAAAATCAGTTATATTTGTTATGCAGTACAAAATGTTTATTTGAGCTGTAAATTCATTTATTTCAGTACTATAAAGGCACTATTTTCTATATTTAATGAGTACAGGCCACAAATGCTGTTAAACAACAACAACAATAATAGTAATAATAATTATTATATTAAATACAGCTCCTGTGAAATGAGTTTTTTTCTGCAAACATTTCCCAAGACATGACATGTTTAACAGAGCATTTTTCAGGCTCTTTATTATACATTTTTCATCTGGAGAAATTCTAATTATTTTAGTTTGGCTGGAATAAAAAAAAAATTAAAAAGCAAAGGTCAACATTATTAGCTTTGTTTTTATTTTTTGATTGGCTACAGAACAAACCAAAAATGACTTGCCTAAATAACCAGTCCCATTCATTCATTCATTCATTCATTCATTCATTCATTCATTTTCTTTTCAGCTTAGTCCCTTTATTAATCCGGGGTCACCACAGCGGAATGAACTGCCAACTTATCCAGCATATGTTTTATGCAGCGAATGCCCTTCCAGCTGCTACCCATGTCTGGGAAACTTCCATACACACTCATTTAAACACATACACTACGGATAATTTAGCTTACTCAATTCACCTGTACCACATGTTTTGGACTGTGGGGGAAATCGGAGCCTACCCGAGGCTCGAACCAGAGACCTCCTTTAAATTGCACTTTAAATTTTATATTAGTATTTTGCAAAATAACTAGTAAAATATAATTTACCGTCATTATGGCAAAGACAAAATAAATTAGTTATTTAAAATTAGATATTAAATCTACTATTTTTAAAAAATGTATTGAAAAACAAATCTTTTTTAAGAAGCACTTAAAGAAGGAAACATTTGTAAAGGAATAAACATTTCACAGGAGGGCTAATCATTTTGCCTTCAAGTGTATACCTCACATTTCATTATTATTATTATTATATTACTATCATCATAATTACCATATTTATTTTTGAATGGTCATATAAAATATCTTTGTGTACTCTATGTATTTATGCAAATACACATCTAAATTAGCCACTGAACATACAGCTGAAGTCAAGCTTATTAGCCATCCTCTGATTTTTTTCCTTTTCTTTTTCAAATAATTCCCAAACTATGTTTAACAGAATTTTTCACAGCATTTCCTGTACTATATATATATATATATATATATATATATATATATATATATATATATATATATATATATATATATATATATATATATATATTTATATATTTATATATTTATATATATTTATATATATATATTTTTTTTTCTGGAGAAAGTCTTATTTCAGCTAGGATGAAAGCAGATTAATTTTTTTTAAACCATTTTAAGGTCTTAATTCTTAGCCCCCATCATTATACAATGATTGCCTAATTACCTTATATTGCCTAATTAACCCAATTAAGCCTTTAAATGTCACTTTAAGCTGAATCCTAGTATCTTGAAAAACATCTAGTAAAATATTATATACCGTCATCATGGTAAAGATAAAATAAATAAGTTATTAGAAATGAAATTATTAAAACTATTATGATTAGAAATGTGTTTTCGAAATTTCTTAAACAGAAATTGGGGAAAAAATAAACAGGGGGGCTAATAATTCAGGAGGGCTGATAATTCTCAACTGAACATGCATACAGAGATGTTTGTCAGATGATTTGCATGTGTGTGTGTTGTCACTCACTTTCCCTCAGAGCTGTAGCTGTTCATGCTGCCGTCAGTGGATTCTCGGCTGGCTTGTCTTGTCATTCGGCTCCTCATCTCCACAGCCAGTCCCGTCTCTGTGCTCCTCTGGATGGTGCTGCGCAGCTTCTTCCCTCCTGCTTCTGCAGAAACACACAGACACAGAGACTGTCAGTCAATCAGGTTTCTACACATCACCAGCACAAAACCAAACACTGACATCTGATGGTCTGTTCGTCTGTGAAAATAAACGACCAGACACACGTGCTTCTGCTCCCACAGGATGGACTGAATACAAAAACATTTCTTGTTTTAGATACAGTGCGTTGTTTCTACGGTATATCTTTCCTATAGACATCTCTAGAATGTGATTTGACATGACGGGCTATGCAGGTGCATTCAATTGCACTTAAAGTAATCATGAACTCAAAATAGACTATATTTAAAGTCATGTACTTTTGTAATGTTTAACTAAACTGAATTCTGCTCTCTCTTATTTTTTTTTTGAGGACATTGTTACTGGTTAGGTGTGGGACAACCTGTCAATCACAATAGCAAGCTATGACCATCCAATGAATTCCTGATAACAATGATTTCAACTTTCAACTTTCTCCCAGATATGCATCAGAATAGTGCAACTTCCATTTAAAGAGCCCATATTATATGTTTTTGATAATGACCTTCCATGTAGTGTGTAACAGCTCTAAGTGATGTGAAATTTCCAGCTTAGGCTTAAATCTGTAAATGTACAGTGTTTAAAACTGTTGATTCATCTATAAAAGAGTCAACTCGTAGTGCTTCAAACGAGTCGTCCTGATAACGAGTCATTAGGTGTTTTGCGTTGACGTGGCTACGAAACATAAGCCCCGCCCAGTAGTTGCGCACGCAAACCCGGGAGATTTGAAACCTGCAGCCCCGCCCACTAACACAGAAATAAAGTGTAGACACACACTGTCGCAGATGCCGGTTGAATGAAGTCACGCTGTGCTCAGATGGTTATTATTGAAAGTCTCTACCCAAAGATGAAACTGTGAGGAGTCAGCGGTTGAGGTTTATTTTTTGCAAAAATACCTCAGCATTATAGCCCACCCTTGTGCAGTGCTTCTGGAAACTACATGCTTACAAAGAAGAATTCATCGGCTGTTTGTTTAAGGAAGGATCAGAAAAGACTACTGATGTAACTTAATGGACTATGTCAGAACATTGATCAATTGGATCAATTTCTTCCTCCATTTCACAAGTGTAAGTACGTGCGTTTAAAACTGTTGCCTCGTTTACTCTAGCCTGCAAATTATGTATTTAATTGTGTTTTGGTACTTGTAACTGCATGTACTGTATCAGGTTAACTCTTTATATTCTCATATCGCATGTAAAGCCATGTTAAAAACGCAACGTGTGCCGCTTTGTTTACGTACTTAACATTAAATGCGTTTGTGAGCTGGCGTTCCACTGACGTTTGTCGTTGCTATGGCTATCGTCATCTAGGGGCTAGGAGACTAATGTCGATCTTCTTCTTCTGAGGAGAAAGTAATTTGTGTGTGTGTGTGTGTGTGGGTCTGAAAAAACAGCAGATAGAGTGTGACGGCTAGGAGACTCGTGTTGATCTCCTCCCCAGTTCTTGGAGTTTTTGCTCAATAAAATAGTTAGTCGTCTGTATTTTCAAGTCCATCGTCTGTATATACATCCACCCACTGGCAGCCAAAATCTATGCCTTACACTATGAAGCGTGTATGCACTCTGACTACTTTTATATTGTTGATTAGCTGCTGGGCATTTCACTCTGTCTCGCGCTGAAGGCTGTCAGTGTCAACCAATCGCAACAGGCTCTCATCGGTCTAATCAGTGCAGATTAGCTTCGCGCTAAGGAGGAGTTTGGGAACAAATGAACAGCTAAACGATTCATAATGAAGTCGCTGGGATAATTAGGTCAAAATAAATGCAGATTATAAGACCATGAAAGTGTTTTTCAACCCTATTTCATGTATAATAGGGGCTCTTTAAAGGCACAGTAGGTCATTTTCACAGTAAGATATTCACAACAAAAAATAAGGAGTGTGGAATCATGGGAGTTGTAGTCTTCATTACATCATAAGTGACTCCTGCAGCAATCATGTGCTATCAGTGTTAAACTGCTTTCTTTTTTATCGATTAATTATGCAGAGAAAACAAGTAAGTCCAAGTGTGTAGACTAAGCATGGACGGAGGGGATGTGTCCCCACTGATTTTTGAAATGTATGCATAAATGGCTGAATAAATAAAATAAATAAACCCTAGGTAAATGGAAGTCTTTATTAATTGACCTTTTTGTCCAACTTTCCTTTAACTTTACATTTGGGAGGGGGAAAGCAAACTTAAGCAAATCTGTGACCTCGAGTAAGCCATTTATAAGTTGACAATGGCACTTTCAAAACACCCAGAATGGCATTTAAATTCATCTAGTGCTGCTAATAGAGAAGCTTTTGTGAATTTGAGGTTTTATGGATATTTTAATTATCTCGCGAAATACATTTAGACATTCTTTTGACTTCTTATGTCTACGTCAACTTACAGTCATTACAGTATTAGTAATCTTTTTGCCTTCTATCTGCTAGTAGCATATTATTTGCAGACATTATAATGATTATAAATGATTTATTGCACAATATTGCCTTTAATCATACTGCTGTTGGCACCCCTTTGTAAAAGCAATAAGTCACTTGAGGCTAAAATCACTGTAAAGGATGTTCTTATTGCTTTATTTAACTTGACGTGGTGAACTGATGCACATGCTGTTCTTTTGCTGGCAGATATAAACGCAGAAATGGTGATGCTCTGAATGCAGAACAGTAGCGAAGGCTACAGGAAGCAGACATGGCTGAGCTGCTGAGATTGAAGCATTCACACACGCCAGGCTCTAGATTCTTTCATTCAATGTCGTCCGCCCCTGCTTACGGCCCTGAGATGTTGCTGAACATAAGCGGATGACGAACATATTGGCGGATGTGAGTGTCCTTTTTTGTACTTTAATGGTACAGTTGTATTAAAGGATGAGCTTGAGCAAGATGTGAAACTATGTCACACGATGTCTGAGAATGTGTCCAGGTTTAGGTCACATTTCAAACTAAACAAAATAAAAATAAAGAAATAATAATAATAATAATAAAAGTAAATAAATTAAATATACAATATATACTCTATAAATGCATAAATAAATACTTTTTTTTGTCTGAAAACTTAAATAAAATGTGATATTTAGGGTCATGCAGTGTAACTAACAATACCGCAAGCAATAATTTTTTTCTTGAAATTAATCAAGAGCAATCAAGCAAATAAATATATAAATGAATAATTATCAATAGGATCAATATAATTTCACATTTAATTTTTTTGACAATTAAGTGCGTTTATGTTAAATAAAATAAATAAAATTAATAATAATACTAATGATAAAGTAATAAGTAAAATACAGTATTAATAATAAACTATCAATACATAAATACATTTAAATTAATAAATCAATTGACAGTAATAAACTAATAATTAAATGAATAGAAAAAAAATTAATCAATTAACAAAATATAAATAAATAAATTAAATAATTACGTATTATTTGCAAGAATTATACATTGATACTTGTGTTTAAAAAAAACACAGTATTACGTTAGTAATTTGTTTAATACAATAACAATATAAATCATTAATGTAAAATCCAGAAATGTGCTTTCTTTCAGCAAAATATAATTATTATTTCACTTTTTTTCCTTAAAATTAACTTGTTTAGTGTAATCAAGCAAGCAAATAAACAAACAAACAAACAAATAAATAAAATATTGAGGATCAGTGTAATTTTGCATTGCGATTTCTTTAAAATTCAGCACAATTCTTTAAAAATCTTGAATAAAAGCAATAAAATAATAATAATAATAATAATAATAACAACAATAATAATGATAATAAGAATAATAATAAACAATAAATAATAATAAACCATAATAACAACAATAATAGTATTAATAATTTATTTTTATTATAATTATAATAATATAATAAACAGTAAATAATGTAATAATAATAATAATAGTAAACTGCAAATAATCATAACTATAAAAATAACCAGTAAATATTAATAATATTAATAATAATAATAATAACTATAAAAACAGTAAATAATAATAATAATAATAAACAATAAATTCTAATAATAAACCATAATAATAATATTAATAATAATAAACAGTAAATAATAATAATAAACTGTAAATAATAATAAACAGTAAATAATAATAATAATAATAATAATAAACAATAATACAAATAATAAAGTAATGAGTAAAAACAAAACATTCACAATAAATAAATACATTTAAATTCACAATAATAAACTATTAAATAAATGAATAGAAATAAAATAAATCACTGTTAAATACTTTACTCATTATTACATTAGTATTTTGTTTAGTACAATAACAAATCCTTATTGTAAAATCCATTCTGGTAAATTATAGGAGAAATGTGCTTTCTTTCAGCAAAATCTATTTATTATTTCACTTTTTTCCTTTTTCCCCCTTTGGGCTGAAATGAGACCCGCACAACTTGAGATCTGCTCACTGATGAATATATTAATGCATTATGCGGAATCCAGTTGTGCCTGCACAACACATTAATCCAAAATACATTACAAGTCTCATGACATTTCCCATATCAGTGACTGAAGGTCGAGAAATACAAAGCCGAACACTGTGTATAAAAAAACAAAAACAAATCAAGCACCTTCAAGGTCACAAACACATGATGATGATGCCGAAATCCCAACAAATCTCCAAAACACACTGACTGGACATTTATCCCTATATAAATCTGTCAGCAAATTATGCATATTCATAACAGCATGCAGATTCATTCATTCAAACCCCACCATAAAACCACCATACTAATGCATCAATTCAATGATGGGTGCAAATATTAAAAAAAATATATACATGCACAATGCTTTTTTGCAACTCATCGCCATCTTCATCCTCTTACCTCCATCCTCCTCATCGAAAGAATTCATGCATGGGAAATAAACAGCTAGAGCTTCGAAAGAGGCTGACAGACTCATTCGGCTCTGGGAGCGCTGCATGCGACTGCCGCTGCCCGCTGTCGAGGTGGCATCATGGCTCTG